TGCAGGCATCAGTCAGTGCAATGAAGGGTCAGACACCTCCATGGTTGTATAGGGTATTCCCGTCCCCCTCTCCCCACGGGAAGACTGCTCTAGGTATCTGGAGTTCTTGGTGGGGCAAAGGCAAGTCAAATAGGTGTGTGTGCGCATGCACATTGTTTCTTCACCACCCTTGCGTATTATCTGTGTGTGTGTGTGTGACACTTCACACCACCAATGCTGGGGAGACCTCTTGAAGGTCCTTGGGACAGCTGCCTTCTGCAGAAGCCGTAGCACTGGAGCCGTGCTGCTAGGGAGAAAGGAGCTGCCAGAAGCCCAGAACTGGTACAGGTGCTTAGGGCAGCTGCTTGGATGTCCTCCTGGCTTTGCGCAGATCCGGAGAGGATTGACAAAGTTTGTGGGCTGGCCCAGCAGTCAGGGAGAAAGGGAGCTGCCAGAAGCCCAGAACTGGTACAGGTGCTTAGGGCAGCTGCTTGGATGTCCTCCTGGCTTTGCGCAGATCCAGAGAGGATTGACAAAGTCTGTGGGCTGCCCAGGGGAGAAAGGGAGCTGCCAGAAGCCCAGAACTGGTACAGGTGCTTAGGGCAGCTGCTTGATGTCCTTCTGGCTTTGCGCAGATCCAGAGAGGATTGACAAAGTCTGTGGGCTGGCCCAGCAGCCTGTTCCATGGGTCAGCATACATCATGCCCACCGGTCAGAATAAATCTCCCCTTTTTCTATAGGTTTTCCCATTGGAGGAGTCCACGGGACTTGTTTCTAACATTCAACTTGTTTAAAGAGAGACTATGTAAGTGAAGCCCTTTGCATCATTATAGTGCTGCCTCTGGGATGCTGAACTAAAAGCCAAGTCACTCCATAACTGACTGAGCATCAGCCAGAATCTTTCTTTCAAAGATGATTTTTTTTGTACCCAGTCAGCAAGAACACGAGTCAGTTCACACAACCTTTTATTCCCATACATCAGAAGGAGCTTGTAAAAGATACCACCAAATCCTCTAGGTGGCAGCAAAAGTTTCCTACAGTCTTATTCCAAAATCAGGATTATTTATGTTGATTTTAGGAGTTTACCCACTAGTAGAGGACTGTAGTCAGGAACATAGCACACGAGACAGGGATGCAGGAGACCCACATTCTAGCCCCAGCACTTCTACTGTCCTGGGGCAAACCACTTCACCTCTGTACCTGTTTCTCCTACAGCAGTGTGAAAAAATTGATTTTTGGGTTAAAAATTGGTTTCAGGTCAACACAACACTGATTATTTGATGAAATGAAAATTCTGGAAAAAACTGATTTGATTAAAAAACCTTTATAAAAATAAAAGCAAAGGAAATATGGAAAAAGAGCTAGCTCCCCAAGGGACAAAACAGAGGAGGTGGCAGCATTATCCCTCCTCCCAGTTGTCCCAACTCTCACTCCTTCCAGCTGTGTGCTCCAATCACCTGGTGAGAGCACGTGTCTCTCTCTGGCCCAGTGACAATGCCAGTATTAGTACAAAGAGGATCAGCTTCGAAAGGAGAGGCTGAGAGAGCCCTACCCAGAATACCTAACAGCCTGGTGGTTAGGTCCCCTCATTTGTGAGGGGGAAAATGTGAGTTCAGGTTCCTGCCCAATGGGCTAATGGACAGGAAGGGGGAGGCAGCACCTCTTCCCCCTCAGTTTGGTAGATGCCCCTTGTGTCTCTAGCCTGGAAAATGAAAATGCTTCATTTCAACATTTCTGAAATTCCCCCCCCCCTGATCAAAACAATTTAGCAAAATCCACGCTCGCTTGGTAAGCGTTTTGGTTGTCCCTGTAGAAGGGTGGGTTCACCGCTGGGACACCCCCTCATGGCACAGCCGACTCTTTTCATCTAGCACCCCTGCAGAGGAGCTGCTCCAGCCCTGCAGTGGTCTGCTGCTTTTTGTGACTCAGCCCTCCAGCTAGGTCACTTATAGTCCCCCCAACCCCCACCCCTTCTGGGGTAACAAAGCCTTCTCCAGCAAGCAATTCGCAGACCTTATGCCAGGTCTCCAGCCTCTGGGACCAATGGGCCTTCCATGCCTTGGCTTGGGGCTTCACGACCTTGCCTTCTTTCTAGGGTGCAGAGCCACTCAAGGCTCACCCTTTGTTCAGGGCAGGGCCTCACTGGGCTCCCTTCTGGAGTCCCCTAGTAAATCTCAATGGAAAATATGAGCAAACCACCACGGCCCTCCTCAGGCTTGAGCTTTCATCCCTCCCATGTTCCCCAGCTGAATGCCTCCCAGGGATTTCTCCCCACAGATCCAGATCCTGCCCCTTAATCAGAGCTCACAGCCAGAGCTTGCTGTACCCTGGTAGCAACCCTGCTGACTTCTTGCCACATTTCTCTACTCAGGAAAGGATCCCAGGGCCAATACTCACCTAGGTTTCTTCTTGGACTCCCCTGGTCTCTCCACTACCAAGAGGAAGGATGCAGAGATTGGTTTGTCTCTCCCCCCTATGCCGCTTCCTCTTTTCACAGCAACCACCCTGCTAGGCCTCATCTTTAACTGGGCCTGGGCCAACCCCCAGGTGACAGTAAGTGCTCTAATTTAGTGCTCCAGCTCCACTTAACTCTTTCAGAGCCAGTGTGGCGTATACACCCCGGCACAGCAGCATTTTTCAGTGAACAAAAAAAACGTGGCCAAATTTTTTTGCTCAGCTTTATTCCAACCTTTTGTCTCTCTTGTCTGTTTGGGCCAAGACTTTCTCACTCTGGGCCTAGCGCAGTGGGACCCTCCAGGAGTGCTACAGTCATAAAGAAAAGCAGAATGCTTTCGGTTTTTCAGATTCCTTTTCCTCACCATGTTTTCTGAATGACAGCAGCAGAGACTGCAGTGAAGATTTTTTTTTTTTTTTTTAAAAAGCAACATTTGCTTCCCTCCACTAAATAGCAGCATCATATTTTCTTGCCTTGTATCATTAGAATACATGGTATGCCAATAATTATTATAAAACCACCGGTAGGATTTAGTGCATCAGGCACGTCGTTCTCCTTGCAATGGATCCCTCCTGTTGGAAAAACATGACAGTTAGCTGAGCCCACTTTCATTGTCTTGACTGAGCTGAGAAAAAGTTGTGTTCAAAACACAGAAGCCCCTGGACCTAGCAAACCAAACCAGTTTGTTGTGGCATCCAAATTATTTAGCTAATGATACCAAAATACTAAGGGGGACAGAAAGATACAAAGAAACAGGGAGCGTTCCCTCAACCACCAGTCTGGATGGGAGCCTTCCAAAAAAAAGGCCCAAACAAAAACAAAAACAAAAAGTTGGAAGGGTTTTCCTGGAAGCGCTCACAAAACAACTTCCTGCCCAGTTCAAAAGCAGTTTTCCCATGAGGATGGTCTCTGAACCCCAGTCTCTGGGCGCACATTGCCTCAAATCCCTTTCCAAATGGAAATATCCGAAGGGATAAATCCGCCCCTGTGTGGAGAGAGCTTGATCCTGCCAGCAGCTCTGCACTCTTATCCCGATCCAGCAGAGCACTTAAGCACATGCTTAATTTGAAGTCAGTGGGATTGTCATATGTGTAATGTTAGGCTTGTGTCTAAATGCTTTGCTGGATCATGGCACCTTGCAGTGTTGAACCCTCAGCCTGCAGAAGGCATATGCACCAGGGAGCCCAGCCGAAGCTGTATTGTGAGGGCTTCAGTGGGCCTCTGGGGGTGCATAGCCTTGCCCCAGTCCTTTACACAGGGTGACATTCACCCTATAGGAATATTATAAAATCAGCTGTTATCTGTTTGATCATCATTTTTAGTGTGGAGATGAATCTGAACCAAAGCCCTGGATCCAAACACCCTGTGATGGGCAGACACTCAGCTGGAGCAGGCCCCCTTTTAGGTTTGAGTGCACTTACCTCGATGATGCCAGCCAAGTAAATCAAACACAAGAAATACGCTTGACTAAGTATAACACAGTGATCAAGTTTGCTGTGTACCCTCTCCACTAGATGGTATTCAAAAATAAGCAGCTACTACTCCTAGCCACTAAATTGGTGGAGATATGTGCTGAACAGGTACAGGGTTCAAATCCTGCTTGCTGATGACCCATAAAAAAACAGTTTAACCTATAAGTGCTGATTCTCCATTGCTTTGCAGCTAGTACAGTCATTTTCACTGGGTGCAAAAGGCTACCACAAAATCAGACCGGTAGCACTTTACACCCCAATTGCACTCAGTGTGCACTGGTGTAAATGACTGCATGAGTTGCAGGGCAGCAGAGAATGCTTCAGGTACCAAACCAGCAGTAGTAACTCAGAGAGAATTCTAAAGCTTCCTTCTTAACAGCAAAAGAAGATTTCAGGGCACAGATCAACTCCGTCCCTCCTAGCCCCTTTCTCCTGTGTGCCACTGTCAGCCTTCACTGACGTGCTTATTACCAGAAAGCTCCAGAAAAAGTCCTTTCCCTTTCCTTGCGGATTTTTTATTATACAGCCGCTAGCCAAACTGCATTCAGTCCCCATATAATGCAACTGCTAACATACAACTGACTACCTTGTTTATAGCAAAGCAACACACACCTGGTAACATGCTGGGCCAAACTCATCTTTGGTGTAATGCCAGTCACTTCACAAAGGCTTGACATTTGCTAACCATCCTTTAACCCTGCCAGTCTGTTTCAGCTGAGTTATACAATGTCCCCTCCATCATGTTTACAATTAGAACTTGGGCAGACCAAAGATCTGAGCAGCCTGAACGATAAATAGATTAGCATCGTTAACAGCAAAAGAAGTGAAGTGCGCATTTTTCTTTTCAAAAGCTTTTAATAGGACATTTTTTTTGTCATTTGTAAAGATTTACACTCTTTTTTTTTTTAAAAGAACATTTTAACCCAATTTTCCCCTTTAATACCATCTTTTGTTGCCCTGATCAAAGACCGAGTTTTTGGTCTATATACCTGATACAGTATAACAATATATTAAGTATTAAATACAAAGTTCTATCATATATGCTAGATTGTTACGGACATTGCAATGGTACTGTGCCTACTCTAGTCATCTCGTGTAATAGTGTACATGGATTATTATAGTCATGGGGGCAGAAAAGGGGGACCAGGGCATAGCCTAATTTACAACAATACATCTTTTTTATTTCTTTGTGCCTTACACCAAACCTTGTGTCGAGTGCAATCTATAGAAGCCAAAAACAGTGTGTGTCCCCCCCTCCAAATTATCTACAGTTTAAATAACCTGTACTCTGTCTATGAATAGTTATGTGCAACGGCTGCAACTATGGAATTTACATTTTTCCAGACATGATCACCATCTCTTTTCCTCTCATACATAAGACTGGTAATGGCAGAATATTCTATTTCCATCTGTTTACAGTAAATCCACAATATTAAAGTGCTGGTGTGCTTCGAATGAACTGGAGCGCCATGTTACTGTGTATTAGCGTCAGAGCTGGCTGATTTCTCAGGGTGGACATGGTTTATACCAGTACAGTTCTTTAACAGTGTAGCACTGCAATATCCTAGAACTTTAGCTTAGCTACTCACTTCTAACCATTACCTTTATGCGGTCTTTGGAACTAGGTTATAAATCTTGGAATACACTAGGTCTGGCCCCAAATTTAGTAAAAGAAAATATTAGACATAGCTGCTTCTCTTTCCAAGATGCTATGCACACTTTTAACAATTTCTCTACAGATTTCTACAAAAATATAAAAATTCAATCAACATAACCATTCTACAGAATTCCTCTGGATTTTGTAGATTTTTATTTAAAAAAAGTCAACTTCTATAAAACCCCCCAAAGGTATTTAAAATTATTTTAAGATTATTGCACACTCTGTAGTACATATATTTGTTTTTCAAAAGGGCAGCTAGAAAAAAAACTCTTATCAGTTAGAAAACAAATGCTTTTACATGCATTTTTTTCCTGAATGCATCTTCGTACAGTATGTTTCTACTGATTTGTCTTTATTGAACATGAATGTATGATGTAAACTTTGTTTTATTGTTATTCACACAACCCTTGTCAGTAGGCAAAACCCCGAGTACTGAAAATGGAACAGTTTTTAAGTTAAACAGTTGTTAGGCTTCCTGTTACAGTTGGAGCTGTGAGCATGGATTGACATTACCTCACCTTCTTGCACCATGATTTCATGCTAACATATTGCATGTTATATCACAAGGAAGGTACTGTGTTGTGTAGACCTCTTATTATGCAGCTCCACTCCAGCCACAGAAACACATTGCTAGTCATTTAGCAAATTTGGGTACAGTAATTTTCGTGGACCAACCATTTTGCTGGGTTGTTTGGTATGCTCAAAAGGAAAGTTTAAAGCTCATTAAGAGTGTAAAACCAAAAAAGGGATTAAGAATATTTCTCAGGCTTAATGCACTGTAATTTTATTATTTCCTTAAATGGGATCAGGATGAAGCACTAATGAAAGGTTTGTTTGTAACAATTGCTTTAATTGGGTTTAGTTTTGGATTCGGACTCGGATTATGAGAGAGAATGCTTTATGTGAGGGCACCCATTAGGACTCTCGAGCAGGATAAAAAAAAAAAAGCCCACCATTCTAGCCAAGAAATAATCTATTTGGAAGAAACAGTAGAGAATGTTAATCTTTAAAATAAACTGATTACTTCCTGCTGTATAATCCCTGGGTTTTGTACAAGATTTGCAAAATCTATGGTGATTGTTTAGTAAAGTAAACTTCCTCAAATGAAAATAAAAGTAACTTAAATCTTCATATAGATCTATTAAATATAGGGCATCTTCCTTGTCTATATTTATTTGACACTAATCTCTATACAAAAAGGAACACTGGGAGAATCTCTGAGCCCACCAAAGGGCTTGGAACCAAGGTCTCCTAGGAGTTTGAAAAAAATCAGTGGTGCTCAAAGGATTTTGATCTCCTGAATGAGAGAACTAGTCATCTTGAATTAAAGTACCTCAAATCCTTCTCTTAATTACATTGGTGTAAGGCTAAATCTGCAAAGTCCTGTAAAGACTTCTGCATGTGCTTGACTTTAAGCATGTTAGTAGTCTCATAAATTTAATTGGGACTACTCCCGATGCTTGAAATTAAGTGTGGATTTGTCTTTTAAGGAGCCTCAATCTGAAGTCGACTCTACTGAGGCTCAATGAAGTTCACTTCAGATTCACACTGGAGTAGCTGAGAGCAGGATTAGGTCTATTGGGCCAAATTCTGCAGTGCTTTATATTCTGCGTTCTCTCTCTGACTTCGATTTTACAAACAGAGATTTGCACGGGGTGTTAGCACAGACTTTAGCCCATGAATTTTGGAGATGACTGACATTAAGAACATGTTATAAACATTTGGTAAAAATTCTATCTTAATTTCTTCTCATACCACAATTGGAAAGAATTTCTGGTTAAAGCCTTTCCAGCTTGGAAGTAAATTGAAACTAGGGCCTTACAAATTAGCTCCCAGTTGTGGCACTGAAAAACTTCCCTGTTTTACTTAAGATAAATAGTGGTTGTACTGCAGGTTTCCCTACTCCTTTTGGTAATGACCTTCAGCTAGGCTCTGATTTTGCAAAGCATTCTTATTCAGGAAAGCATGTGAGCATATGCTTATCTTTAAGCACCTAAATCCTATTGACTTAAATGAGACAAATACATGCTTAAAATTAAGCTCATGCTTCAGGCCCAGATTTTTAAATGCACAGCATTGCAATGCCTAACTGATTTAGGAGCTGACACCTAATTTTAAAAGCAGTTTGGGCACTTAGGAGCCAAATTCCCCTGGGCAGTTGGTAGTAGTTAGCTCCTAAGTGCCTAAATCACTTTTAAAATGAAATGTAGGCTCTTAAATCAGTTAGGTGTTGCAGTGCAACAATTCCTAAATAATTTGAAAACTCTAGGTTTAAGTGCTTTGCTGGACAGGGATAGTCATAAGAACATGTTTAAACGCTTTCCTGAATCAGGGCTATATGGAGTTTAGCTAACTGCAGATCTTACTTACGGGTTTGATTCTCCTCTCTCACAGGTGCAAGTAGGAGTAACTCCACTGAACTCAGTGGACTTAGACTAGTGTAAAACTGCTGACACGAGAGCTCGGGACTGGGTTCTACGTATCTAAAGATATTGGGTAAAATTTTAAAAAGTGCCCACGGGATTAGGTGTCTAAATCACTTGGGTGCTTTTGAAAACTGCATCCATCCATTGACAAGTTTTTAAGAACCACCATTGTCCTCAGTGGCAATATATTTAATACCTTTTTATAAACCAATATTGTGTCACGCTAGTATGCAGTTAAATTCTCTTTGCATTAGAAATCTTCGTGCATCTGTCAACATACTGTACATTCCCGGTCTAGTGCACGTGCTTTGACTCTGATGGGTGATTTAACTTGAGTTTGGAAAATTATTCGATTATTAAAAAAATTCCATTGCAGTTGTAAAATATTCAAATGACTATCTCCCACAGAAAGTTATTAAGTTTAAAGGGGGGAGGTTACATTACAGTTCAAAATTATTCTCCTTCCTTGTTGACTGTGGGATATATTTCCTCTGTAATGCACTAATTGGCTCTACCCTGTGCTTTGCAAAAAAACCAAACCAAACCAAAACAAAACAAAAAAGGATTAAATATGTATTTTTATGTTAAAATGTCCATAAAACCCAAACCTTATCTCAGAAATATTCTGAGATACATAAAATAGAAGAAAATTAAACAAGATTTTAGTCACAAAATGTACTACATCCCGCAATACTAGAGTCAATTAATTTAATAAAATATAATATACATATATATTCTGCACAATGTATTGCTTTTACCTAAGCAGAACATATGCTTAAGTAAGCATGATATAGGTTAACCACTCTTTAACCAGCTGGTTCTTTCAACTTTCTTTGGAAATTTTTACCCAGTGCCATTTGAGAATACAGAGGGTTTTTTGTTAGTTTTTAATTTGTACTTTTTTTTATTACACGAAAAGAAGAAAATATTTGGCACCAACAGAAATATAATTCAGGGGTCCATTTCTGTTTGATCAAAGGAAAAACTAGGAAGTGTCAACAAGTCTGTCTTTGGGGTAGGAGATGTTGACATACTGTCTGGAAGCAGCGAATCTCCTATATCCATTGAGTCCTTGGAATCACAAGATGGAGCACGCCTTCGCAGGCAAATGTCTGCACTGGGAGGTGAAATACCATGAGATCCTCTAGGTAACAAACTTTGTCCATCTGGTGGATCTATAGATATACACGGGGGGCTCAGTTTTTTCTTCTGCCGTGCTCCTTGCAAGCCTTCCATTTCACTTAAGACCTGACTTATGAAGCCAGAAGAGCTAGATGTGGAATGGTGCTGAGGGCTGTTTTGCATGGAACAAATTTCTATGGAATGTCTCCTTTGATCATCTAACCAAGATGGTGGTTTTCTGAGAAGACCCTGGGTATCTACACTGTAGTATTTCTTCAAGTCCTTCAAAGTAACATTGCTGCTATTGCCTAGGTTCCTCTTAGGACTTAGAGGTGGAACCACTGAACAGGCACTCAAGGCTGTACAAGTTCCTGAAGCGAAAGGCTCCAAAGAGCTGTTTATTTCAGATACTTCTTGGTCCATAGAGTCTCTAAGTGTCTCTTGATATGAGCCTGTACATGCACACGAAGCTGGTGTGTGCTTGGATATATTATACCAATTGTGGGAATGCTGAGTGCGAACACTTGATCGGCCCCAGCAGGCCGATTCGCTTGCTTCTGATGGGGTCTCTGTGGATACAGCTGCCACATTTGTATCAGAGAGTTCATTCACCTCAGCATGCAAATTGTCTTTGCTTTCAGAGCAATACATGTCCAAGGAGTCATTCCTTATTGCCACCTGTAGCAGAGTGCCACGGAATTGGGGAGGAGGTTGTCAGATAAAGAGAGACACACCAAACAAAGGTTAGTACAAGGCAGGCACAAAATTAACAAGGCAGGTTGTCATGCCTGGGGCCTAACTCTGCTTTGAAAAAACACTAACACAAATGCAGAGAAAATCCAATGACTCCTATATTCTAACATAGAATAGATATTATAGTAACTCCATGACTTCATTGGAGTTACTCTGGGGTTACACCAGTACAAGTTAGAGTAGAATTTGGACTTTAATGCTTTAAGAATATCAGCTCTCAGGTTGTATCTCTAAAGTATATAGGATTAGATAATCCAAACCAAAAAAAACTCATCAAAACTTTTTCCAGGATTTGGCTTTATTTTTACTTCTGCAAATGAGGAAGGGGTTAATTCAAAGCTCATGGAAGTCAATGGGAGGTCTTCCATGGACTTCATTAGGCACTGGATCAGGGTTTACTTTAAGCACACAAATTGTCCTGCTAAAATCAATGGGATTACACATATGCTTGAAGTTAACTTTGTGCTCAAGTGCTTTGCTGGGCAATGAGCTGAAGTCCTAAAAAAAGGGAGTTTGGAACACTGTTAATGAAATATAAACACCCCCGCTCACCCACTAAGCCCTACTCCTGCCAGCCTATACTCACGTGTGTAGTCAGAGTCCAATAGAGCTACCCCCAGCATACCCATCTGCGTTTGCCGTATCTGGGCTTAGTTATCCTACCTCTGCATTCCCAGTGTGCCCTATCCTCTATGCATTCATCTTTTTTTGCATGCAAATCTAAACAGTACTAGAACAGTGCATATCTTTGGCCCTATCTAGGGACTGGTTTGAGTAAGAACGCAGTCAGTTACTACTGCCAGCCACTGCTCTCGCTCAAGCTGGCAAGGCACATGCTTTTAGCACTCACACACCAATGGTCAAAACCCACTTGAGACTGAAGAAGGGAGGGGGGAAATTTTATATAAGATCTTCAGGGCAAAGACTGTTTATTATGTGGCTGAAGACATTGTTGGTGCTAAATAAATATGGGCCCAATCCTTGATCCTAAAAATGCTAAGTGTCCCCAAATCTCAAATAATTGTCTGGTATTGAATACCTTTATGTGATATAGAATTACTTGAAAATTCTTGTTGGTAATATGATTTTTATTAAAGTGAAATGGATACCTCTAGAGTGATGCATCCGTAATTATTTCCACCTATTATAAGCGTGAGTTCAGGCTCCTCAAGGGACGTTTTGCCTACACTGTTTGGAGTCAGATACAGGCTTATTTTCCCCATAGCTGCAAATTGGCTCTGAACAGCACCTTTACATGGCAGTTTTACCTCCCCATTTTCAGCAGTCATTGTGTTCCATAGTGCTATGTGCCCCTATGCTAAAGGATTTATACGTCATTTTAATAGCTCTTCATGCAAATGTCTCATCTTGGGGAGATTGCTTATTTTCCTCTTTACAATATTTGAAAAAAAAATGCAGGTGGCCCCACTTTAATATACCAGGATGAAGAGATGGGCTATTAATTGTAATAACACTTTTGTCATCTAGCAGCTCAAAATTACTTTTTTAAAATGAAAGTTTATGAACTAGTCCATAAATATCAACCAGTTCATTTTTTTTCTGGGAAAAACTCCCATAGACTACAGGACATACACACACCCTGATCAATGTTCCCTCTAATTTTTGACAGGCCGTGTATGCAAAAAATTTCTTCTGTGCAAATTGTTGTGCTCCTGTGCAAATTTTTGTGTGCGCGGGGTATTTCACTGTGTGCGCGGGGTTTAGGATCTGTGTGCGCATGCACAGCTTAGAGGGAATAGTGACCCTGATCCTCCAAAGGTTTATGCAACACCCCCACCCCCCCCGCAAAGATGTAAGCATGAGCCGACCCTTTGAGTTTAATAAGTCTTCCCCTATACTTCAAATTAAGCATGTGCAAGTATTTGCAGGAAAGTTTACATACACAAATATATATATGCACACATATACATAATAATATAAAAATACGTTCGTGGGGTATATGTTCTCACACACAAATATTTGTGTGTGTTTATATTACTAATATGTATCTGGAATCTTGATAGAGTTTGCATGCTCACCTCTCTTATTTGGACCACAAATTAGAAATTCTGTATTAATGTGCTTAAATGATTGACTGCAATGTTTATTTGACAGCCTGGAGTTAAACTCAAGCTGCTAACCTGAGTTAAAAGCCAAGCTGCCATTTCTTCACTGATATTTTAACCTGAATTAGCTGGTCCGAGTTAAGTACACCTTTTGCTGCAACGTAGGCGTACTCTGGTCTGTGTTCCCATTGAAGAGAATGGTAGACTTCCCATTGATTTCAATGGGAGCAGATTAGGCCAATTCTCAACCCTTTTGAAAATCCCACATGTTGTGACAGAGGATAGACTATTGGGAACATTCTGGGTCAGATTACACGCTCGCACATGTTTGCATCTCCCACTGGTTTTACCTGGAGTTCTGAGTGTTAAATTTAAGGCATTAAGGCCTGATCCTCAGCTGGTGTAAATTGGCATAGCTCTTGAAATCAATTGAGCCATGCTGATTTATAGCAGCTGCGGTTCTTGCTCTTGAAGTGCAAACCAACATTCTATTAAGAATTATCCTGTAGTCTTATTCAGCAGTAACCACTATGGAAAATGTGAAGAAAATGGAGTTAAAGAAGATGGCTAACATGGTAATTTATATTAGAAATGCCAGCCAAAAGGTTGGAGCTGTTACCCATCAGAAGCTGAGGGAGAATATTCATGAACTGGAAACATTAAATCAATTAGTTTCCCCATTAGTGTCGACTGGGCTGCCTGGCTGGCCTGGTGCAGTCTAATACACATTGGGAATTTAACTTGTCAGTTTAATATTACAGATTAATGTAACTGCTAACCTTAGTGCCTCAGATTCATTTTTAGGGCTCAATAAATTAACTGTCTTATTTTCTCAGTGTAAAAAGGGAAGATCATTTGAATAAATGAGGATATATTTTATTCAAGTAATACGTTATTTGGGGAAAAATAAAAATGATCCACTCTGCATTTTATTTATTTACACACACACTCTCTCTCTCTCTATATATATATATAAAAAAATCAGACACAGGAAACTAACTATTGGGTAAAGATGAGCTACAAAATTAGCCAAATATATGGCTCTGATTCAGCAAAACACTTTTAACATGTATTTAATATTTAATTTTATAATGTGAGAGTTAAGCTTATGCTTACGTGTTTTACTGAACAGGTACAGACTTAAACATATGCTTAAAGTTAAGCACATGTTTAAGTACTTGGCTGAATCAGGGCCTATATCATTGGCAATTAGACAACTGATATGCGGCCAAGAATAAGTGTCCTCAAAACCCAATAGGCATACATTTGTTAGAAAACAGAAGAAATTAAACTAAAGGCAAATTTTCCGAAAGTTCTTAAATGACTTAGGAGCCTCAGGCCCATTTTCAAAAGTGACTCAGCACTTCAGTGTCTGTCTCATTGAGTTTCAGCATCGGCCACATCTACACTCCAAGCTGGGGTGGGATTCCCCTGCTCACGTGCACATACTCCTGCTGGCTCTCATTGAGCTTGCACGAGTATAAATTGAGCTTGCACTAGTGGCCACGGCAGCATGGGTCGCGGCAGCGGAGGCATTCCATACCCGTTGGTTGCAGGTGGATTTGTATTCTGCATGGCTCAGCCACGCCTCCACTGCTGCTAATCATCCTACCACGGCTACCTTGCTATTTATACTTGGGCTAGCACGACTATGTGTACACGAGCAGGGCAATCACACCCCTCTCTTGTAGTGCAGATGGAGCTTTGGGCTCCTAAATCACTTAGGCACATTTGAATTGCCCCCCCCCCCATCTAATAAGGAAAATACTCTTAGTTTAGGTAAAAACAAAAGTAGCTCAACTTCGTATCCCTGCTCTAGAAAAGGTACATTTCCCACTTCTGCTTGTTCAGACATAAAAGGTCTGGCTTCCTTAAAGCAAAACACACTTTTCCTTGTCAAAAGCGATAGCTCTTCCCTATGAGAGGAAATTACAGCAGTCATAGAGTTGATTGGGGAGAGTTATCTGCAATCACTGTGCACTCTCAAATGTTGGGGACAGCATTGCGTAGCGGTTCGGAACTAGTTCAGTGAACTCCACTGACCCCTAAGGAACATTTGGCTATATCAATGAAAATGCTAGGAAGGACAAAGTATTAATCAAATGGAGAACGTTTAGGCCTATTGCCAAAGGAGTTGTAAGCCATCATGTGGCTCTTTAGAGAACACTGAATGGGTTTCTCTTCAAAAAAAAAATCAACCAATCTTTTTGGGATTATTCCTAAATGAGGGTTACAGAGCTCATGAAATTGCGATATAAAGGTTAGTAACCCATCAGTTAACTTAGTAAGCCACCAGTCTTGAACTACAGCAGGTTCACAGTCACAGCTCTGCTTACCTGCCTACGAAGTAATCTTTCTGCAGAGGGAGAATGCACAGTTGGGGGGATCTTGGATTTACTTTCCCAGTCCAAATTGCCATGTGGTCTTAGGTGGTGGAAATGATCTTTTGGGATTTGCAGGAGAGAACTGGTGTCAGCAGGCTGCGACTGCACGGAGGCTGTTGAACCTTGAGAAAGGGACAGGAAACAGGAATGTGACACACATTCATCTGTAGATATCTCCCATAGCTTAATAACCTTTCAGTGAAAACTCTCCCATTGGACCAGACAGGCATTGCACAATGAATACTTTTTAACATCCTGATTATCACTTCAAAAGTTTTTTTTCTCCTGCTGATAATAGCTCACCTTAATTGATTAGTCTCATTATAGTTGGCATGGCAACACCCATTGTTTCATGTTCTCTGTGTATCTATATCTTCCTACTATATTTTCCACTGCATGCACCTGATGAAGTGGGTTTTAGCCCATGAAAGCTTATGTCCAAATAAATTTTAGTCTCTAAGGTGCCACAAGGACCCCTCGTTCTTTTTGCTGATACAGACTAACACGGCTCCCTCTCTGAAACAGGTAGGAGTTCACTTCACTCAGTGCTGAAATACAGCCACTTTTTAGATGGAATAGGGCAACAATTTAAAGGGTACCAGCAACACTATACAGCATCTCAGAACAGGGTGTGTAGAATACTTTGTCCAGTTAAAGCAATGGGAATTTTGCCAGGACACCGAGGCAGATGTAAAACATAAGGTATTTAATTGGTTATAACATGGTTATGAATAGGACATTAGTTTTCTCTGATCTGAAAACAGTACAGACCGCCCCCCCCCCATGCTGGGTCACTGGCTGAGAGCTGACTCAGACGGAGGATGAATGGCTAGGATCATTTCTTGGAACATCTCAGGTTTTCCTCAGAGGTCTCCAATCCAAATCCTGACTAGGTCAGACCATTCTTAGCTTCTAAACCCTAGATGATCATAGCCAGAAAAAAAAACCGAAACACATTTACCCTAAACACTCTTACTTCCAATACCCTGTTTAATCTGAGCTACTTAACAAGTGATCAAAACACAGTGCATCAATGGCCAGCACAAACTTCAGGGTCCAGCGTGGCTTTGAAGAATCATGCAAGAGCTTTTCTTAAATATCTGCCCTACTTCCAAATGGGACTATTTATCCAGGATTCCCTAGGGAGTAATACAGGCTCCTCAGATTCTCCTGGTGTCAGCCAGTGCTATTCATTTTACCAAGATGGGAACTGAACAGTGCAAGTTCAAGGTAAACAAAGGACTAGGAAGAAGCCCGGGTGTGGCTTGCAAGCTAGCTCAACGTAGGAACAAAGATACCTGGATTAAGCAGTAACATGCACAGCACCAAAAACTCCCTCCATAGCAACATGAGGATCTTTTTAAAAGCCAAGGAAGTTTCAGTGACCTTGGGCTACACAGACACTAATCCTGGTCCCACTGAAGTCAAAGGGAGTTTTGCCATAGATTTTAACTGGCTAAAATTTTACCCCAAGTCTTTCCATTGATGTGAATGAATCCTTTAAAGGGACAGTATTTGTCCCTAAGTCTTTCATATTATGCCAATGCCTCTTTCCAACCCCAGGTTCATCTTGCTCTGTTGTCTCCACATTTTATTTCTGCTGTTAAACTATAGCTGTGCATTTGAATTCCTATTACTCTGCAAATTTCAGCATCCCATTTCTAATCTGTTCAAATCTTGTATCATTCTGAACAGCTGTATGAAATTGTGCCCCTGTTAGAAGCTTGCAAATGGTAATGCTCGGGAAAATCTTTTCTGCCTTACCTAGGACAAGAGCCTACAAACTGTTGTCTATTAAGAGCAGGTGCAGATAAATTAAAGGGAACTATATTAACTGACCAGCAGAAGGTATTGCATAGCCTACTGTGCAACACAAGAATTTCTGCCAATTGCATCCCCAAAATATTGACCATCACAACAACAGTGAAATCCTGATGGACAATACGGACCAGGGGTAGCACCTGAAAAAAATGCAAATGTAAACCTAAGAAAATACCTGCACTAAGGGTCCCTTAAACATACACTTACCCATTTTGCACAGATAGATGCTACTGTAGCTGCAATTTGTGGCACCAGTCTATGGAAACCTGGCCCTATATTTTAATTGAGGTAATTTAATTATCTTCCTGTCCAACCCAGTCCCCTCCATCAAACAACCTTTGAATGGGAAAACCCATCTTTGAACTGTAATTTACATTTTAAACACAAATTCTACCCGGTTATTTCTCTAAACCAGCCTGTCAGTGTTTTGTCACTGCACAATAACACAACTTAGCATTCCCATGGTGTGTTCCATCCCAGGATTTCAAAGTGCATTACAAACAATAAGTCTCACAAGCTCCCTCTGTAAAGAGGCATCTGAGGCACAGAGAGGTTAAGTGACTTGCTCAAGGCCACATGAAGTATTAGGGGCAGAGCTGAGAATAGACTACATATTTCCTGACTCCCACTCTGTTTAGCCACAAGACTGTGCTTCTCTCCCAAGAGAAGACACATTTAACCTATTAGTACTTCCTTGGAGACTCTGAGAAACATACAGAGAAGGACTTCAAAATTCTCCTGAGGGAAGAATGACCATTATTTTGGATTTCATTTTGATGTCATGGTTGGTTTTACAACAGGGATAATGTGTACTACTTTGTAATGAGCTCCCAGTAAACACTTTGGAGACTGATTACAGATATCAGCTTTGCTCCAATGCTTTGGTCAATCTTAGGCCACATTCATTGCTTCATATGCTATGAAGAAGGAAAGACTGCCCCAATACTCCAGTTTATTGTTCTCTCTAAAGAATAGAATTCATTATCTCTCTTCAGTCTCACAGGAGGAACCATGCCCCTGTCAATACAGGGAGGGGTGAGCTAACCTGAAAATGTTCTGAATTGGGGATCCATTTGGGAGAATGTGTCTGTGACCAGACATATTTGCCCTGCCCTGGGCCAGAAGGGGTTAACCCTGTACTTTGGACTAAGGAAGCCTCACCCCCTCTCCCTGCTGGGCATGCTCTAACTGGAACCACACTATAAGAGGGAGCAGTTCAACTCAGTCTGGGGAGGAGAGAGGATGAGTGTTGCATGCTCCTGTCCGGAAGCTGTTGGAGCCCCAGACCGCAGAGGCCATGTACACTGAGACCCAGGTAAAATCAGTGGAAGCCCACGAGGAAAAGGAGCCACTGGGAACATCGCCTGCTGAATACCCTGGAGAACCAGAGGACCTGTAGCCTACGTAGTAGGAAGACAGAGTTGGAAGTAGCCCATGGGAACCAGACATTGATCCGGTTGTGGTTCTAGGAACAGAGTCAGCATGTTTCAGTGGGATCCGCGCTGCCCCTGGGCTAGGACCCGGTGGAGTAGGGAGGGCCCAGGTTCCTCTACCTTGGCCACCAACTTACCCCTGAGTGGTGGCCTACTTCCCTTTTGGCCAGTAGGCCATACTGCCTGGTGCAGGAGGGCTGTCCTATTAACTCTGACTGGTAGGCCATATTGCCATGTGCTGAAGGAGGGTTCTATTGACGCTGGCTGCTAGGCCTTGCTGCCCTAAATCTAAGGACAGCCCTACTGACTCTGACCATTGGGCCACCCTGCCCTAAGAAGAAGAGCAGTTATTTGGACAGCAGGACAGGCTGTCACAATATTTCAGAAACAAGAAGTGAGGAGACACTCCTCTAAAGATAACTTCTGCTGGGATTTTCATTCACGGGTCTTAGTTTGCTGGGGTGAGACTGTTGGAGCTTCCACAGTTCTTAAGAATTCTGACCCCTGAAGGCAGCGATAGGAGGGTAGAATGTAAGACGGGTCCACTGCTGCCAACCACCTGCCCTCCCAGCAGTCCAGTCACTTCCTTTTTTTCTGAACCCTTTAAAAAGTTTTGGTTCTAAAATGGGTGTAAGGTTCAGATGGAGGAAGTTTTTATTCTAGACTGGCCAAATTTGTTAGTCTAGATCTGATAGATGGGCTTTTCAAAGCCATTTTAGGCATCTAGAGACCTAATTGCCATCAGAACTGATACATAGCTATATAGGTAGCTTTGATACAAATGATATGTAGCAACATAGGTAGTTCCGTAGCTACACTTTGAAACCCCCAGGCCTGATATGGTCAGCGTGGAGAGATTTGTACCTGACCGCGATTTCTGATGAGATGTGTTCCTCTCAGCCTGGGAGTTGGCACAGGAGCCAGAGTATGGAGGCTGGAACATATAGCTGTCATTTGGCAAAGAGTGGGTGCGACCTACAGAAGGCTTTCTCACACTCAGCAAGTGCTTGCTCGGGGACAGTGTCAGAGTGTCATCTTTGGAGAGGTGATCAGTCTACGAAAGAAGAGAGAGAAAACATCACAGAGTTGGAAGACCCAGAGAACCTGGGACCCCTAGCAACAGCCATTGCAATAAATATGGGGCATGATGGTGCATGCAAATTGCCGATATGTACAAGGTCGACTGAAACAAAATGAAACTTGCACAAATGGATCTACTAGGAAGCTATTCCCCTAATTTTATAGTGTCACTAAACCATCACACAGAATGAACCAAATAAAATACTGGGAAACAGAGGAAAGCAACAGTGCAGTAATAAACCATGACTATTTCAGGAATAGTTGAAACAGGCATCATGCCTCAAGGTCCAGCAATGCACACATGCTTTTTGCATAACTCTGATCATATCAAAAGATAATCAAGCCTCCCATATGTGCCCTCCCAAGTCAGTTAGACTTTTGCAAAGGTAAGTACGTAACAGTCATCCCCTCTTCTAAGAATGGAGAAACAATATAGTTCACAGAAGATGTACCCTGCTTTGACTTCCACTGTCATTTTATTGCTTTTTCTTTCCTTTTCTAGTAATAATTATTAATGACACTTTTTTGGCAGGACATTAAATTTGATTCTTCAGGGCATAAACCAGTCTCTATTAGAGATATAGATAAGACCTAATGTGGGGGGCTGATTATCCCACATCTGCTAGTGCAGGCTTCTTCCAAGCTTTCTCTGAAGCATTTGGCACTGGCCACCATCAGAGACAGATACTAGATAGACTTTGGGTCCGATTCAGTAGGGCAATTCCTATGTTCTTGCGTTCTAAAGAAAATTATAAGGTGTTATCAAACATGGAAATAATGTAAGCCCAGTCATGTATTTCTAACAAAAGAACTACCTCCTTTATAAAGAACTCCATAAGAAATCATAGAAAACAGAGGAACATGCCAATGTAGTTCAGTAAAATACATCTCTGATCCCCTTCTTTCAGAGTAGTTTAAAAATTATCTACTGGCAAATTTATCTTCCACTTACTCTGAGCATTAATATTTTTCTGAAATAGATATTCTGAGGTTTTTTCTAATTTAGTCCTCTAACAGAAGCAAAATTTCATTAGTGTGTTTTGTGTACACAGTAAAACAGGACAAGATTAAATGGAATTTACAACAAAAAAAAGAGGGGGATCACTGTTGTAAAATTGGCCAACTAAATCCAAGTTCACGGCCATAAAAAATTGTTTTCAGTCTTCATGAATTTGCTGATTTAGATATAAATGATATTCATTAGGGACTGCAGTCTCCTGCTATAACTCAAATGAGGAGGGCAAGTTCAATTCTGGTAATGCTGACACTTCTGGTTTGAAATCCTCCTCACCAACCTGCATGCACACACCTTTCTCTACACATCATTTTGCTTAATACAAGAGATGGTCCAAAAACTGGAATTTCACATTCAAATCCATTTGGATTCGAGATCAGATCCAAATCCACTCTCCTTGTCTAGGTTTCCAAGCAAGATCCAACTCAGAAGGGGCTTATTTTCCAGTTCAGATGCAGCCAAACTCTTCTGAGATTTCAGCCTCAAATAGCAGAAATCTTGAGAGAACAGCTAATTTCATGAAAGCCATTTAAAAGCCTGAAAGGTGATCCCATGAGAAACAGCTCACACAGACTTCACTGCTGTCAGATTCCTAATCTCTACCCAATCTGGATCCAGACTGGAACACTGCGCTCCTCAGCCCACCTCCACTAGATATCTTATTTTGAAACAAAATGTTCCATACAAAATGTTAAATGTAGTTTTCTTTTGTACATGATGCCATGAAGCATGATGGGAAATATTGTCACGGTTTAAAGAAGGTGTAGCCCAAATAAATATTAATTAGGATGATAGAAAATTTTATCAACAACACAAACATCCAGAGATAGGTATATGGACGACATATAAAACAAGAATGGATCCAAAAATGTTTGAAGAGAAGTTATGTCTGTTGTACAGCAGAAAGAAAGCACTTGATCGCTACACATCAGCTAAAAATGTCTAATGTTTCAAAAAGAAGATGGTTAAAGCAGGGCTCAAAATACTGGTAATTTTTTACAAAAAAGAGAAAGGAATCCAATATTGGTTGCTAATGAGAGTTCACAAAACAAGCAGCATCTCTGAGAGATCCGCAGCTGGTGTATTTCAAAAAAGTGTATCTGGCGCCCATCCCCAAAGCACTGAGGGCACCTATGTTCACAAAATCTAGTCACTTACAAACCAAGGGGATGTAGATAATCCTTCTGCATCGGGCACATGAGCTATTTGCTCATGGGTGTGTCTTTTATGCACACAAACATTGATTTGTTTCAGATGCAGAGAAAGTTTCAAGATTCACACCATCCATTTTTTGTGGGTGGGCTATTTTTTTTTTTTGAAGATAATGTAATGTTTTTACATATGATGCAAAAAATAAAAATAAACTGCCCTCTTCAGATAAAAGATTAGGTGCTATTTGGAGATAGAGTTGGACTGAAAATACCATTGTGATTAACATTGGGACAGCAGTATTTAGAACCCTGTAAACATCAGAATATATAGTGACCAGTGTATGTACATTGCTTTCCAGAGCATTAAGTAAGAGTGTGTTAGTATCATCAGGAAAAGAGTCATCCGTCAGAGCTAAGGACCAGGACTTTTCAGAGAGAATATCTGACGTCAGAGACAGAGCCTCCATCTCAGCTAGAGGGATCTAAACAAGGGAGAGATGATTAAGCATAAGAAACCAGGACACAAACCTTTTGAAAAAAAGTATCATCGTCTAAATACTGAAGCATTATCCCTAAAATAAGAGCATCTATGTCACGCATGTCATTGCGGTAGATAAAACCATAAGGAAATGGGGTAAGAAAACCCATTACATTCAGCCTTAAATACTTACAAATAAGTCAAACAGATTTTACAATTGTACACTAAAGGTGCTGTGAGAAACACTGGTTTCTATGTGACAAATCGAGGAATAATAAGAGTAATAATACCTGTCTCTTATATAATGCTTTTCATCAGTAGATTTCAAAGTGCTTCACAAGTTTTAATGTATTTATCCTCACAACACCAACAGGAAGTGAAAGTAACAGTAGCTTAGGTAGTATGTAGATAAATATGTATTTTTATTATTCTAATGACATCTAACTATTAGAGGCATTGAGAACCTCAAAACTTCGCTGATATCTCCTATCCCAAAATGCTATGGCGATGTTGCAGTTGTGTTTGACTCTAGCCTGTCTTGTTTGGATCCTCATGGGATACCCTCGACACCAAAATCATCTGATTAGGATGCAATCAGCTGTTCATGTATGCATCTTTAATGCAGTGTAAAGAATGACATCTATCTAGGGAGACTTTCATTATAGGATCACAATCTACTTTCCAAATGTGAATTGAGTCTCTGCCATGTGAGGCAGGTAGCATAACTTGTTTACAGATGGGTTAACTGAGGCATAAAGTCTTGATCCGCAGTCTGCTACAGTCAGTGAGATTCTTCCCAGTCACTTCTGTGGTCTTTGGATCAGGTGCTAATGGGCTTTGAATCATTTATGGGAGTTAGTTAACCCACTTACGTGCTTTTGAAAACCCCATTGGGCATCTATATGCTTCTTTAGACACCTAAATATATTTGAAAATCTGCCCTCTGTGACTTCCCCAGGGCCACAGCAAGTCGGTGACAGGGTTAGTCCTTTCTAAAAAAAAATCAAGCAAAATATGCAGCCTTCAGTGGAGGGTGCTCTCTCTTGAGGCACACACGACCATCTAATGGGAAGCACAATGTGTCATTGCTTTGTGCTTTGAGGTGGCTGTCTAGACTGCCCAAAAGAAAGGACAGTGTTCTCCTAACAAAGTAGAGTCACTGTTGTCAGCAGCCTCAAAGCCAGATGCTGGATTTAAAGTGTAGGCTTGACTTTCTAAGCACTCTCTCTCAAACCGGATATTTGTCTTACCAATTGTCACGTATTTCTCTATGGGTGTGTGGTTAGCGAAGGGACTGTTTTATAGGCCTTATATAAAACTGATCCATGCACAACTACAGCTTCTACATCAAGACATAGGTCCACAGTGCTGCCTCTAGGGCTCCCAGTACGTCAGCATTTCCTCTCTTAATTCAAAGGATTAGCACTTTTATCTTAAGCGTTCAAACAGTCTGTTTCCACAGCAATGCGTCTTTCAAGAGAAGCTGTGGAGACCGAAGCCTGCCATATCCAACCTAGCAAAGAGTTGGTTTCTCCCGCATGCCTGCTTTTGGAAATGGTATCATACTATTTCACCTGGGGCTAATTAACTCTAGTGATGGATGAACCTCAGAGGTTTGGTTGAGATAATCATGAGACTGATTGTTCTTTTGAACTCTGTCCAAACCCTCTCACCTTCTGAATCTGTGACACAGGGCTGGCTAGCAATCTTACTGGACAGGCTTTCTGGTAGGATTTCCAGTGTGTCCTTTGGAGTCAGGAACACAATGAACTGCCAGTGGCAGAGCTGTTCTAACATCAGTCACGGTATCCCAGAGCTTCTGTCTCTGGTTGTGGATGGAACCAGGAAATGTAGATCAGAGGCACTTGCAGCTCTTGCACACCTGAGTCCACTAGAACCCTGCTGCCACTGAGGCAGCACAAAGGAGCCAGAGAGATGCCCTAACAGGGCCACTGAGAATTCCCCCAGCATGGCAGACGGATTCCTAGCTGGCATAGGACTGATATTAGTAGCTCTATGCCAGCCTCTATGGGCCCTCCTCCACAGCGGAAAAAGGGGATGTGGCCAGTATGTGTTGGATGAAGGTAATTGCTGGCTGGTGTAATGGACCTTTGGGGGCCATTATTAGTTGGGATAGTTTAGAGCAGCCCCGAAGCTGCTCTAAGTTATGTGGACAGCCATACAAGCTCTCAGCAGTCCCCAGGACTGAGGAAACGGAAAAGGTAACAAAGCTAGCTTGTCCCTTCCATCACAGGTTTTAAGGGAGACCTCTGTCTGTTGGTTAATAATCCCCAGCATAATGAAAGTGATAATTAACAACTAGGGGGTAAAAAGTTATCCCAATATTGTGAAACCTATAAAGGTATAGTTCTCATTGTATCCAAACTTGTTCTCCCTGCCTAATGAAAAGAAAAGTTGAATAATTTATAGTACTCAATGAGCTGGTAAATAAATATACTAATAATTTAATAAGAAATCTTCAGATATTTTTATCTGATAAAATAAAGATAAGATATTTTTAGCAAAAAATTACAGCACTATTGGATTTTGCTCAGTCAAAATGAAAACAATAAAAAATGAGGGTATTTGAATTAGCCTATGTCATACGAAAAAGTGTTTGCCCTAAGGAGTAATGGATAGGAGAAAGCAGGAATTTTATTTCAACTACATTAATTTAAAAAAATTGAGTGGTATTATTTTAACTGTTTAAGGCCCCAGTGCAGGAAAGCACTTACAGACATGCTTAAGTCCACTCCTACTGAAGACAGCACTTAAGTACCTGATTAACTTTAAGCACATACCCAAGCTTCACTGACTTCTTTGGGATATAAGCACTTGCTAAAGTGCTGTCTTGCTTTCTCGAATTGGGTTCAGATTGGAGATCAGGACCCAGTCGCAAGAGGCCTATTTAGAGACACATATGGGGCTGGAGTGTAAATGGGCATCGCTACAGAATGGAGAGATGCCCCTTCACACCACCCTCTGATCCGGTCCATGAGCTCCCATCCTACAATCCAGTCTGCGCGGTTGGATCCCAGCACCTGTGCAGTTGCAATGCATAAATCCAATCTCAGGATCTGGGCTACATTTGGTCATCATCCTAAGGCCACTCATATATAGAGAAATTTAGCTTTGGATTTAGTACATTAAGGAGGGGAGATTAAATCCTGCACACTTGTTCTAGCATGGATATATAATATCTTAAACAGAGATAAGTTAACTTGCCCTCCCATAAAATAGCCCTGATGACTTAGGCTTCAAAATCCCTATGGCTAGTTTCGATTAAACCCCACCCCCAACTTTATCTTTTCAATACAGGTCTCAGTCAAATTGCCTTGGACAGAGACTGTGCAGGAAATTAGGAATATTAACCTGTTTCTCAGAGTTGTAATATTCAGGAGCTGGAAGGGCATAATGATGGCACACAGAGCCTGACAGGTTGTCCATCAGCTTCAACTCTCCTTCCAGAGATTCCTGGATCAGCAGTGATATGGTATCAAACAAGTGTCTTTCCTGGGAGGGGTGCCGTATAGCATGCAGAGGCAAGCCAAAGAGAGAGAAAGTGAGGGACAGAGACAGAGGGAGAGAGTAAAAGGACAGGGGAAAACAGGAAGAAGAAAACCATAGTTTTCAGAGAGAGATTAGCAGTAATAGAAATGATCAGGAAGGAAAAGGATGAGATAGAGGAGGAAAGAGAACAGTGCAGTAATTTCACAGTCAGAAGCTTTCTCAGACATCACTAGAGACAGGACTGAAGCCAGATGCCCCGGGGAACTGTGGGACATTTCAGGCTTGGGCCATCTTCAGACATTACTCCCATCCTGAACGACCATTACTAGTTATTCTGAGTTGTAGGAGTCTGGCAGGGCCATTGTAACAGAATCCAATTGCTTGTTACTGGGAACTTCTAAAGGAAACTATTGCTGTAAGACATCTATGAAACACTTAATGGCAACATTTTCAAACATGGGAGTCTAGCGTTAGGTCCCTAAATCCATACCTGGGCACCACAGAAATGAAAGCAGCCTGACTCTTGGAGGTGCCATGCATTCTCCAATCTCACTGACTTCCATGGAGGTTGTGGATGGTCAGCACAGGTGACTATCAGGCCACTAATTTAGGTGGGTTGGGTTAGGTAAATATGGGTTTAGGTTCCTAACTTCAAGCTCCCACCTTTAAAAATGTTGGCCTTCGTGCATACAGCAGAAATATTATATATGATAACATAATTTTCACAAACAGTACAGGGGTCATTTAAAAGTTGTCCCTTTTGTTTAGGGAAGAGCCAATATGTACAATGAAATGAGGACCTTTGTTACAGTCAAATGGCACGCAATACAAATATTCTAGGGAATATGCAAGCAAAGGCGCATGCTGACCACATGACCTTGCAGAAGCGCATTCTGAGAACTGTATTCCTCTACCACCATGTATTCAAACACCAGATTCTTTGTGGAGATTTTGATGGGAAGGAAAGAAAATCATCACAGTTATTTCAGAATAAAACCGTCCTGAGGTTTTCAAAGCATCTGTTTTGGTGGAAAGAGCAATGAATAGAGTCTGGAAAATATACAAGAGGGTGGAATAAACATCCTCCATGGCCATTCCAAATAGAAGACGGCCAAATGAAATTTGTAAAGCCTCTCAAACAGCTGATGGTATAATTCTGATTGTTTCGCTTCTCCACCTACTCGTTTGCTTAGCTTGGTTACTGATCTGTGACTATGCTGAAGATGACTGTTTGGTCATACTAGCTGTAATATTATATTTTTTATATATATATATTTATTTTATATTAGAGGATGCAGAATAAGATCCATGTAGGATAATCCTAGAACAGACTGAACCAAACAGACTGAAAAGATAAAGGAGAAAATCTTGCCGTCTGCTACAGGGATGCTCTAGTGTGGAGGAAAGGATGTGGTCTATACACTTGCTCACCACACAGCAGCAGGGCAGGATTGCAGCTCTCTGCTTGAGAGAGAACGTTAGGTTCTGAGACTAGGTACTGCACTGGTCAGTGTTACCCAAACAGGGCACAATCAAGCCCATCGCTCCCCAAGCACAAAAGCTGCGGTGTGCAGTATATGCTCAGAGGGTGTGGATGTGTCTGTCTATGGGGGAGTGGCGGGGGCTAGGGGGTGGTGAAGGCACAGTGTTTCTTTGTAAAGGAGCAGTAAGATGTAATTTACCAATGAGGTCCCCCACATTACCCTGAATCACGTTGCCTTGTGCTGTCAGGACAGCTCTGGGATCTATCTCATACCTCAGTGATTTTTAATAGCGAGAGACATTTTCCAAAGGCTTAGAAACTGAACGTGAGTTTACAGTTTACTCTGTCTTCATTCCTAAAGATCACAAATGAGTTTTTCAGCCATAAGAATACTCATTACATTAGTTTGCCTTGTAAACAGGGCAAATAGACGTCTTTTCATTCACCTATGTGAAACTCAAGATTTTCTATTTTATATGTAAAAAGAGCTAGATAGGTGGGTGTAAACATGAAACACAGTTACAGATCTTGCAGCTATCTGGGCATCTGAATAAAGACTGGACCATTCTTGTGTTTATGTAATTGTACTTCACGGCCCCACTAACTAAATATGGAGAAGTCTGGATCCCCTCACTAACCCAGTCCCCATTCAGAAACTTTTTTTGAGAGACCAGTGGAACTCATTTATAGCTCACAAATATAAGCAGTGTAGTACCATCAGCTACAGCACTATGGCCCAGAGCCTGCACCATTAAAGTCAATAGGAACTGTGCCATTGAATTCAATGGGAGTAGGATCGAGCCCTCAGAAGATTCTCCTATTATTGAAGTAATCTTTTCCCTGGGAGCACTGGTTCCGAGAGGGGGTAAATATTAAACTTAGTTTATATAAAATATACATTTTATTTAGCATTTAAAAGAAAAAAAACGCAGCAAAATTTATTTCTCCCCCCTCGACACCCCCAAGCCAAAACCCTGGATTAGAACATCCCCCAAATTTGGAGCCAGATCTGAACTTTGTGGCTTGGGCCCATCACTAGAACAGACACAGAGCTCTTTGCACCTGAGCAGAAGTGACAATCTGGTGTGAAGACTGGGTCAGGATCTTTACATTGTAGCATAGATTATCAAAACATGCAGCAATTCAGTCAACAGATAGTGAGGAATACAACTCCCCAATGCACTGTACACTCACTCCTTCACTGGAATTCGTGCATATCCTCCCTTAGCAAATATGCAGGCCAACCTGCTCTTCACCCTCCACCTGAGATTCTCACCATAGGATAAAATAATGAGAGCTGAGAATCCACCTTGAATTGCATAGGATTGGTACATCCTCTGGGGCTCTCAGGCCTTTCTCCACCATTACCGCCTGTCCATGCAAAGAGGTCCGAAGTGGGGATTGGGCCTGGGGTGATAGTCTTCATTTCCATCTCCAGCTCCGCTTCCAGCTCCGCTTCCTCTTTGGCTTCCTTGTTGCTCTCTTCCAGGTGCTTCATGAGCACTGCAATTACCACGTTCACCAGGACGAACTGGGCCGTCAACACAAAGGAGACAAAGTAGATGGGCGAGATGACTGTGTTGTAACAGGTGGACTCCTGGTCGCAGTCGCGCAACGTGTCCTGGTGATAGGGGGAAAATGATTATGGAAACTGAGGAAGCTCCAGTTAACCGAAGAAGGCCTGATCCTGCCATCCAATCACTCAGTGCTCCCGCATAAGGCCCAAATGGATTAACCATCTATTGAGCACACACAGATGATCAGACTAGTTTCACGGACGATTTTCAGATCTGTCTAGGTGAGCAAATGACCCCCCAGCAAAACCTAACTCATTGGAGTCAGGTGTGACACTAGAGGGGAATACTGCCTTGCACACAGGCTCAGAGAAAACACCAACTAGTCTCACTGCATTCCAACAGGTGGCGCCTGTCTGCTCCTTTATACTCCCAGAGGACTGGCTTATCCTAGATTCTCCATTCTGAAAGGCCATTTTGCAAGGCCAAAGTGCAACTATCCTAACTGACCCAGACCTCATCAGTCGCACAGTTGTGTTATTTGCTCCAGCGAAAAATAACGAGCCTACTGGAGCCTCTAGTTCCCCGTACAAAACAAGCTACTCAGTTGAACTAATGTCACTCCATAGAAAACTCCCTGTATTGCCCTCCTTGTCCTCAAGCCACCACCTCAGGAAAAGCCTGGGAACTTACAATGCATTTGAAGGCCAGCAAACCCAGGCGCTGTCAGGCAAGAGGAAAAAGAATTGCTTTGAGAAAATGCCCAGGCCCCGAATCAACAAGTGCAGGGGCCGTCCCAGCTTGAGTGCCCCAGCTGATCCCTGTTATTGGTTTGAAACAGTGACAGACAGCCTGTAACATTAGAAATGATCATCAATATTCCTTCCCCAGGGATCTCTTACCTTCATTATCCCATTCCAATTGTCTCCTGTTGAGACCCGGAAGAGAGTTAAAAAGGCCATCCCAAAGTTTCTAAAAGTGGCGTGCCGCCCTAGCCCCTCGCAGTGGTGAGTGTCATCGCATTCTGTGAGATCAACCAGAAGAATCTCATTTAGACAATGAGCTCGCTCACGTTCCCCCTCTATGTAACTATTTCCTCCTGCTTCCGGCAATGCTATGTCTGTGGAGAACTTACCAAGGTCGCCAAATAGCTCCACTCCAAGAGCTGCAAATATGAAAAACAACAACATGAAGAGAAGACCGAGATTCCCCACCTGGAAAGAGAAAAAGAAATGGGGGGTGGGGGACAACAACATTAGTTGATTTTTTTCCAGACCTGCTTCTCCCCGTATTCTTTCATACAAAAGTTAAGCCGCCCGAGGGCAGATACGACCTGGATAGCATCTGAGACTGAGTTTCTAATGGGAAATGCAATTTTCCAATGACAGTGAAGACAAAAATAAGGAGGAAGGTCCAGGAGCAGCCTTCTGCAATAAGAATGTAGCTCTGGTCCTGATGAGATTTTTCTGGGAAGGCAATGAATTACCTGAGGCAGTGCTTGCATGACTGTGTCCAGCAGGGCTCGCATCCCTACAGCCATCTTCAGTAACTTTAACACTGTAGAAAATGATAGGTTCATAACATTACTGCTGCAGCATTACTGTGGAGACACAGATTTTTAGAGAGAGGAAGATCCCTCAAGCATGAAATCATGTCACATGCTCTCCATTAGCAACTAAAGCTCAAGGCCTCGTTATAGAGCTCTAGATTGTTCAGATGCTTGTTAGAATCCTGTGAATAGTTGCATCTTGAGGCTTCGGGAAAGAATCACCATTCTCTTGCTCTCTCTGAATTGGGTAATGTTGACACAATGCTAGGAATGTAAGAATGACCTTTTCTCCTGACAGTCTCTTCTGCTGAGGGAAGTAAACAGTTTTAGAAAGGTCAAGATACTACCAGATGTACATTCCTTTAGAATTCTGCTTACAGCTAAACAAATAGGAAGCCAAATTCACCCCTATTGTCTTCAGTGGGGCCTATACCAGGGATGAAATTTGGCCCGTTAGGGTTTTCTCCTATTTGGGTCTTGAATCCAGTACTAAATATACAACCCTGAAAATATCCTTCTGAGTTACCATCCCTGGATCTCTTTTTCCTTCCTCTTGGTTTGGACTAACTACCTTCTGAGTTCTGCAGCTGCCTACCTTCATGTTTGATTTACGCAGGCATTGCTTTGCATGCCCTTGTCTGTAAGATTGAGTTTCCAGGCGGAAACTGCATATGCTTTTCCTTTTGAAATGTACCTAATATGACAGACGTTTCCCTTTCTTCTGAGGCTTCCTTTCTGGCTTCAACTACATTTCATCTATTTCCATTCTTTCTTTGTTCCAATTAGAATAAATAATAATAATGCTAATAACTTGGCATGACAATAATGAAGCTCTCAAAGCACTTTACAAACATTTGGAGCCTGATTTCCAAAGGTGTTGAGCAGGGCCGTCCCTAGACATTGTGGTGCCCTACGCAGCCCTCCTGGCTCCAGCCCTCTCTGCTCTGCTCCGCTCCCCAGCTCGTCTGGTGAGTGTGGGGCGCGCCCGACCCCTGATGCGGTCCCCTGGGACATAGCTCAGGGGAAGGGGTGGAGTAGGAGCGGGGCTAGGGCGGAGAAGGGTTGGGGGCTTTGGGGAAGAGGTGGAGCGGGGGCAGCTTTCCTTGTTGGCTCAGCTGGCCCGGGGATGGGGCTGGCTGCTGGAGCAGCATGCAGCCGTGTAGTTTGCGTATGGGTAAGGACGGCCCTGGTGTCGAGCACTTGCAGCTTACACTGACATCAGTTGGGGCTCCTGGTGTTCAGCTCTTCTGAAAATTAGACCCTAACTAAGTAAGCCTCAGAGATGCGGTAGGTATTATCATCATCATCATCGCTAGGGTACATCTGGATACAAAGCAAAGTAGACACGTTGTCTCACACAATACCAAGAGGTCACGTGAAAAGGGAAATGAAATTTATTTACCATCTTGGGGTTTTTTTTTAAATCAATTGCCAACTCTCTAGCTTATGGCTGTGTTGCACCCTGAAACCCCTATCTAGTTTCCAGATCTTTGAGACATACTTGATTTCACGAGCATGCCAAAGTTTGCTTTTCCAGGTTCACCCATCAATGAAATTCACAGTGGATTCTCTTTTCTAAGAAGATCTAGATCTGCAAGTGCTCTTAAGAAATACATGGCCAGTTGGCTCAGCTCCTTGGCTCTTCTGCGATGTTTTCCCTTCTTTTGTTCTCTTATTTGTTTACAGTTTGTGGATGCCAGAACAAAGTGCACTAAGCAGGGCATGTGGCATGCAGTGGTTTCCCAGTCATGTCCTGGACAGAACTGCTCACTGCACCTCAAATAAAAATGATTTTCACATTGACTCCGTCTTACCTCGAGCAATCCTTAGCACCCTCATTATCCGGATAATGGTGGGGTTAATGGGCAATGATGCATTCACCTCAATCTCTTCCAAAGTGATACCCATGATAGACAGCAGCACTATTGCCAGGTCTAATTGGTTCCATCTGAAGACAACACAAAATCACATCTACTAAAGTATTTGCAGTGTGCGTTGGTTTGTTTTAAACAAATTCCAGTCATGTCAGTGGTGCTAACGCTCACAGACACAAACTTTTGAAACTTTGAGGGGAGTTGCACAAAAACCATTATTTTTAGATTATGGAATCAGCCAACGCCAAAGAAAATATAAAACCATGACTGGGCTTATACCCGATGATCCAGACATTAGGCCAAATCCTACAAACTTTATTCAGCCTTTTGTTTGGCAAGGCTCTCACTGAACTCAACAGGAGTTGTGTCCAAGTAAGAACTGCAGGCTTTGATCCAATGTCCAGTCACTGTAACACAGTCACATTGGGCAGAAGGAAACATACCAAGATTATACCACGATGAAAGGCCCTCTAGAAAGTCTTGAGTAGATAGGATGAGCACAACAGTGATGTCAGACTAGCTAGAAGTTGGGGAGGAATGATTTTCTCTAGGGAAGAAGTCTGGCATGAATCCAATGCTCTTGACATTTGACTTGAGGAAGATGAAAAATGCGAGGTCAGAGGTTTGAGGGGGGCCAATATTAAATGTATAAATATCTTAACTCAGTTACAGCTCATCCTAAGCCAACAGAGGCCAATGTCTGCAGTTCCTCCTGGTCTGTTGATCTCACCAGGACAACTCTATCCAGTCCACAGTGGGAAGAAAGATCAGACTTGCCAGCTGTCTGGTAAGGCGAGAATTCGTTTCATGATATAACAACAAGAACTCAGGGTTAGATTTAGACCCTATGCAACTCCTAAGGAAGTCTCAAGGCCAAATTCACTAGTGACGTAAGTTACACATCAGGCGCAAGTATGTCAGCAAGAGGCATATAAAGCAGTAGCTTGCCCTGATTTGCACCACCCCTGAATTTGGCCCATTATCTATTGAGCCCCTGCTGCTGTCACAGACGTGCAGGATTTAATCTTTGTTACCTGTCTTGAAAGAACCGGCGAAACCCAAAGGCAATCAGCTTGAAAACAGATTCCAAGACAAAGATGACAGTGAAGATGTAATTGCAAATCTTCAGTGCTTCATCAAGAACCTGGAACATGGATACAAAGCTGAGGTTAGTTGCTGACTTGGCTGGACGGTTTTGCTGCCATCCTGTTTTCACCAGAATTATACATTTAATAAGAAATAACTGATGACTGACAAAGGAGAGGGGATCAGGGTTATGGCCCCTCTCTCTCTCTGCTCCCTTCAGTCCCAGGAGGAACTAGTAAGGAGAAGTCCCTGCATTTAAGAGGGTGCAGAGGCTGCAATTGTGCACAGCCCCTGTACAATTCACCCCTGGGCAGAGGGCCTGCACAAAGCCTATGCACTACTCAGGCCCCTCTTGAGACTGCTCGACGCTGGGAACAATGCCGTCTGTAGTCTGCAAAACATTTAAGGACCATTTAGATGAGAGTGATTCACCAAGGAACTGTTGCATCCGTGGGCCTAAGTGGTACAAAGGCCTTGTGCACCAGCGCTCTGCATGTTCAAGGCCAGGGGAAGGCACTTTGCACCACACCTGCCCTCGTGCACCAATGTGAGAGCCACAGTCTGGCCCTAGGTTTGTCCAAATCCTGGCACAAGCAACAGGAAATTAGCCGTATGGCTAGTGCCTCACCTTGAGCTCACAGCAAGGCATAAGATATGGATAAAGCATCAGACAATATCGAATTCCCTAGTTCTTTCCCCTTTGCTTGTGTCACAACCTTGCCGCTAATGATAGTCATCACTGCCAGCAGGGCACCTATTACACAGGCGATTGCGAACTAATGGCGGAAGTGGTTTTATTCCCAAGGTCATACTGGTAAAAGAGGGCAGCGGTAATAGCATCTTAGATTTCCTTTGTAAGCAATGTGCATCATATTTCTTGTTGCTGAAAGGTGTGACAGCAATAGCTGGGTACGGGCCATTGGGAGGTGATGTGGGGGAGGGTAATATTACACAGATCCCGAGCTAGGGTGTGAAAGATTGTGTCATTAAAGTTCTGTGAGAAAGCTGCTAGTGAGATCATGGCATCCCGTGGTTTATTGCTAAGTAATTCAAGAGGTGATGATAGAATTGGATGTGTTTCCAAGGGGTATGTAAGGCCAGGTGGGTCATGGCAGTTGCTTTTAAAGGATCATCAGACGTTTCACAAGTTAATGCCATGATTGCGAGCCATCGCTGGGCAGGAAAGAGGTGATGGGGAAAGAGCAAGGCCCTTTCTCCCACATTTTGCCCCTGTACCAGGGCTGAGCACTGCCATAGTTCCATTGTCCTGTGATTCTATGGTGCTGTGGCTTTCAGTGCTGCAAGCCTCCGCAGTCTAACTGGCCAAAAAGGATTGTCCAAGTCCAGCACCATTGCCAGTCCCACGCTCTCATGTGAAGCAGAGCTAGCTCCGTGGTGACAGAGAGTGCACCTGCTCCAAAGGCAGCAGCTGCGCTCCCCAGGAGGCACTGCGTCTACCAAGAGCTTCTCATGCATCTCAGTCAGATTGTGGCTTCATGGCACAATTTACCCCAAATATCGATCAAGAGAAATCACTTCACCTGATACTGAAATGCAGCCACATCTGGGGAAGAAAGCCACAGCTATTAAATAGCTCACTGCAACACTGCAGAAGAGTTTAACTCTGCCCAGCCAAAACTGCACCGGTAGAATGTAATTAGCCAATGCAGAATTTGACCAATAGTTGTTCAAACTGTGTATGCCTCTCTCTGTACTGCAGCACTGCTTGCAAAGTGGCCGTTACTCAGCAGCAATATGTACTGGATTTTGACTGGTGTCCTGATGACAAAAGTCCTTTCCCATCCATATCCCATTACCAATCCCGTTCACCATCCTGGTGAATTATGATGTTGGATATAAAGCTCTTAAGCACATTTATCTGTCTATACATCTCCAGGATAATAATCAAACTCCAGATTGGATTTAGTCACCGGGGCCCTGATTCAGAAAAGTACGTAAGCACATGCATGACTTTAGTCAGGCAGGTAATCCCATTCACCTCCGTGCGACTATTTCCATTCTTACATTATTATGTACACATAGGACATTGGGGTCTTAGATAAAGAATTTTACTTTCCTTAAGGGAAAAATATGAATGTTTTTATAATACAAGTAAAAATGTCACTGTGAAATGACTTTAATAAGCACAGGCCCTAGAGTAATTCTAATACAAGCTTCTTTGCTAATGACTGATTTAATCAGAAAGTGATTGAATCTCATAATGTGCTTCCCAGTGTATTTAAAGGTGACCTGCAAAGGAAAAAGAAATTGGGCTTGTGCCTTTTTACTCTTCGGCTAGCTTATGATGGATGGATGTGTGTGTGTGCGCACGTGTCTTTTTTCCCCTTCACTTGTTATTTACATTAGTCATGCAGGTCCTGTCTAGCCTCAAAGAATATTTCACCCTTATTGTGATTTGCATGTATTCATTTTGAAAGGAGCTAATAAAAAGAATTACAATTTATACAGCAGTGGCAGCCATTTCCATCTCTTTCTTCGGCACAAGGCAGTCATCTTCCCAGTACAGGTTGTTATTACCATCGGAACAGGCCCAAGATACAGGAGCCTGGCACGCTTAATAGATTAAGAGTCTGATTTTCAGAAATGCAGGGTAGCCATAACTCCAACTGAAGGCAATGGTATTCAGTACCTTTGAAAATCAGGCCCTACATGTATCTGCTTGCTGAATGTAGTGGGTAGGCACTGAGGCAAATCTCCCATTGGCCATGTCTCCATGAGGAAAGGTGCATTTTTAATAAGTGTTAGATAAGGTGTTAAAATCCTAGCATAGGCAAGGTGGTTGTAGTTATAACGTGTATGTTCAAATATACCTCTTTTCTAGTGTAGACATGAGCAGCGGGAGATTTGCATGGGTAAAGATTTCAGGAATTGACCCAGAAAGATTACAGTCTTCTTACTGACTGTTACCATAGAAACACTTAGTCAAAGAGAAGATTTCAAGAAAAAAAAATCACTGGCAACTGGCTAGAGGAATTTTCATCCCAACTTTTACTGCTATGGTAGGTTTTTCGTTTTGTTTTGTTTTTTTAATGTTCTTAGAGTATTTATAAAGGGTGGGTAAGAGATGGGGAAGCTGAGGTACAGAGGGAAGTTACCTCATCAGCTCAAGTAACAATAGCAGGGAAGCATGGGCTAGAGGCACCCTCCTGGGACCCTGGGCACATACTCAAGCATCTGGCCCAGGCTGCCACAGCTTTACTGCTATTTGATACCTGCGCTAGTTTTGATCCGTGTTTACGTGTGTTGCAGTCACACCACCGGATGGTTGTAGAGACCTACCCTAAGTGACTAGTTAAGGACTCAAGCAGTAAAACTGGGAACAGAGGCCAGAACTTCCAACTCCCACTCCTCTGCTCCCACCACTTGCCTCACTGGCTAAGGCACCAATGCTGATCATGCAAAACCATCACCCAATAGATGAAGTTCTGTAAAACCAAACCAGCCCTGGTTCTGCCCATCTCTAGCACTCAGTGAAAGCTGAGACCATTTCTTTTCCCCATTCTATCACTGGCTATTGCCAGCTTCCTTGTCTCCCGGTACCTTCGGCTGCTGGTAGTGCTCCATGGCCATGGTGATCACATTGAGGCCGATCACTCCAGTGATGAACAAATCCAGGTAATGGCTTGTGCACATCTGGTGGATCAGGAGCCGGAAGCGAGAGTAATCGGAATAGTAGGGTTTACACTGTGCTTCTGAAATGGGGGGCGGGAAGAGTGGAGAGGCAGATCAGCTCATTACTCTGTGTCTCTTAAACATGAGTTCACCTTCCCTTTGCAAACTCCAAAATTGAGGCTTTCCACATTGATCACAATAAGGCTTTGGGTTTTGCTCCTGGGTGGTATGTTACCAGCCTTAATATGTAGCAAGGCTACCAACAACATGGATCCGTTTAAACATCTTTAATGTAACATGCACAATACTCAGCCTTTTAGTATTAGAGATGAAGTGAGTACAGCTGGGACTATTGTGGGCTCCAGGAACTGTTTCACTGTAAAGAAATTAAAAAGCCCTACTTTTTTTTAACTTAATGTGGAAACAAAAACAATAAATGAACAAAAACAGCAGCCGAAGAGCCCGTTCAATAATCAAATACTGCACAAAATTGGTATTGACAATGGCTTTGAGAACACAGGCCCTTCATTTATTGGTCTTATTTGAAGAGACAGCAATAAACTCATCTCATCTCCTTCGCAGTGAATTATGGGGTTAGACAAAATTTGACACTTCAGCTGTCAGAACTCTGAAAAACATTGAATAAATACTGTGGAAAACTGATCAGTCTACTTTAATGTCTAGAAAAATAATTCTCCATTTATATACAATTACTGAATTGTAGATTTCACTGTTAGATTTACTTCCACAGTCAGTTGCATTGGGAATGACACATGCTTTTCAGACCCTAAATGTTCCAGGAGATAAACTAATTTACTCACCTAATCTCTAATGAGGAAATGCCAAGGCTGAGTATATAATTCAGCACACTTTTCAAGGAGGCATTATAAGGCAGATTGAAGTGGAAAGGACTGTCTTGAATACGTCAGTGTATAATATTATTCTCATAATTAGATAATCAACTGGTTATAAAAATTATTGAGCTGAGAGAATTGCATGGCTTGAGATTTAGCACTGCTGAACAAATGCAGGGTTTGATACATTACTCCAAATAGAAATTTGGGCACAATGAAGCCATGAACTATATGTATCAGTTACCCCGAGGGAAAACTAATTTAAAGTTTTGCTGGGGATATAATTTGGTGTGTAGATAGCCAATGATTCTGCAACCAAAGCCACAGGTTTAACATCACTGTACGCTCGTTGCTTCATGACATGGGCTCCTGAAAAATCACAGAATTTTTGTTTTTTCACTGAGACAGACTTTTCCCCTAAAGCTTAAGAACCAGAGACAAACTATTTAGCAGCTTATATGGTAAGGGTTTGGAACTCCCAAAATTCTGCTCAAGTGTCATAAAATAAAAGGCAGTATTAATATTAACTTTTGGATGTGCAATATGCGGAAGGCGATCTATACTGGAGGGCAAAAGCATAACAGCAGTGAAAAGGTCTATAAAATAAATTTTAATGCTGAATCTATTGAGCACTTAACAAAAGCCAAACCGGTGGCTTGCTGACTCACACGACTTTTTGTCAGGGATCTCAAATCCCTGCATAAATATCCATAAAGCCACGATATCTTGATCACATTATGCTAAATTATGAGTAAGAAATTAACTAAAATGTTTGAATACAATTAAGTTAGCAATAGGGCCTAGTTATGAACCAGGTTATAATTGCAAAAAGAAACACCATCATAATTTGATCACTGATTTCTTTTAGGTTTCTGAATAATTCACATTCAAAAAAGGAAAATGTCAACATTTCTGCCTCTTCTTGCAGTGGATTTACATATGAATAATTATACTGGAATTCAAATGTTTTAGCTTTGATTGGCAGGTCATTCCAAATCCCACAGAATAGCACTGCAGCTCTTAGAATATAGCAGGGATTTACAGAGAGGCTGTAAAATGTTACTTGTGCAGAGATCCTGCATCTGGACTAGTAACAGCATGGCCTTATAAACAGGGTTGCCAAACCTTCCCCAAAATATTCCCTTTTTTTAACCTTTCAGTGAGCATGGCCCTGGACTTTGCAATGTCAAATGCTTTTCCTGATTGAATTTGAAAGTCAGTGTCACTGACACATCTGGTACACTACTAATTTACAGACTGTAAATATTTTATCCCCTGCCTGTAAGGTTATTAACAGGCGGTTTCTCAACCCGGTTTATAAATCATACTACCACTTATTTTCCTTTCTCAACATGCTGGTCATGCATATTAGCGGAACACAGATATTACCTTGAAATGAACCACAAACAAATATACCATGCTGCCTGTGGGCTACAAATTAATAGCTACTGTATCGAGGTAGACAGGGAACTTTTTGAACAGAGCAGTTGCTTCTTTATGTCATCAGCAAGAAAAGCCATATTTAAGATGGTTTGCACAGATTGGCACTCTCCAGGTGTAAATTCCATGCCCACATCAAACAGCAGTATTCATATTTATTGCAGAAAAAAAATCTAAACAATACCAACATCTTGGGAAATACAGACATCTGTTGAGCTCCAGGTGGTGAATCTCACAACTAACACAACACCACATTACTGTACTGTTACAATACACTGTGTCAAGAACAACAAGAGCTCCAGATTAGTCTAGGTTATTACTGGAAAGGTTAGATCACTTCCTGACACACAGAGAATTAAAGAAAAAGAAAAAAAAATGGCAGAATAAGACTGCAAGAGGATGCGAGATGCAGCAAAAGCCCACGACAAATCTGGCAGGTAAACAGGTTCTAAATCAAGCTGCTTTGCTGTGGCTGGGTGAAAAGTGGGATAGGAAAAGGAATGAACTCTAATATTTAGATACAATTAAATTGGAAAGATCAGCTAACACAATGAAGGTTGGGCAATCTACTCATAAGTCTCATTTCCCTACTAATCCTGGGAAATGATGCTCTAGCCTGATGGGCAGCTGAGTCCATTGTCACAGGTGCCCAACATTATGCGTACTTGTTTTTAGTTGGTCATGTCCAGTGGCCCTCATCCAAACAGCTTAGACCCCTGAAGAGGGGTCCTATGATGATATATGCGCCATGCAGTGGGGTCGTTATTACAAAGGATTGCCTTAACAAGTGCCAGGAAGTGGAACTGATGAGTCCAATGGGAGTCGGTTCCCTCATAATTTGGATATTAGTTAAACCGTGCTTGTAACAAGTAACTATTAAAGTGTGGCGTCCCTCTGGAAAGTGATTCCATAATTCACTGATTCTTACTATCAGTGACTCACTTGCTCCGTGTATGCATAAAAGTGATTTTTCTAACTGCCAGTATCATAACTGAAAGTCACGCTCCATTCTTTCTGGCTTGCATAGCACCAACAATTAAGACTGTGTGCTTGGAATTCAGCAAACGATACTGTTGAGGATGCTGGGGCCAGAAGAGAATCCAGTTCCCTTTCTAATAGCTGTGTTCACTCAATAGGGCTAGTGGGAATAGAACACAGCAAGAGACCAGGTTGGACTCTGAATTCATCCCTGAAGAGTAGGAAGTTGCCATTTTTCCATAGTCGCTTTTCAGAGTAGAACAGTGCTGAACTGCACCACCAGTGGAAACTGGAATTCACAAGAGTGGTTCCATGAAGGAATGCATTTCTTTGTAAAGGTCTACATTTATTTTGGGGATATAAGCAGGAAAACAGTGAACTTTGAACACATTAAGCAGCTGGATTTACAAACTGTACTGAGAGAATTAGGTTTAAAATGTTTTGCACTGAAGGAACTTCTACATTTAAACACATTGTTTTATTCAGCTTTTATCACATTGAGTGGCATTTTTAAAGCAAAATGGAAATGATAAATTATTCCCACTGAGAAGTTTCCAGCTGTGATAGATCCAAAATAATAACAGTAATTTCCACTACACACCAGTAAACAGCACAGACACACAGTACTCCATCTCATCTTCACATAAAGATAAAGGAAGCCTTTTGTAAAATACAAAGACATATGGAAGTTCTGGGTCCTCAGCTTAGGATTTCTCATCATGCTACAGAAGGTTTGACTGGTAAAACATCAATATTGATTCCCTAGCATCACACAACGATTCTGAAAGAGAACTTTCTATTCTTTCACTTTGATGACTGAAGACCAGCACAAGCACATTCAATAATACTGGTTCCAATAAAAGACAACAAAGGAAATACAAAAGCACAGATCTGACAATCACACAGTTTTAAAGGTAAACTATACGTTTCTTTCTGAGTCTGCATTGGATAATGGCCAGTTTTGGAATGAGATCAAAGCATTAAACAAAACAAAATAAAACAAAAACAAAACAAACAAAATGCTAGATGAAGCTCTTGTCGACCGGAAGAGGTCTTATGTGGTGAAGATGCTCACAACCAAATTAAAAAACAAACAAAAACAAAAATAAAAAACCTAGGGCCTGCTTCTTCAATCCTTCCCCAGGCACTGATGTCTGATTAAGGGGTGGAGGATTGGACTCCTAGCAATAACAGAGAGGATGAAGGCAAGGAAATTAAAACACAAGGAGTGGCAATGGTGAGGAGATTCAGGTTCATTAAAGCAAGTTGGGTCATTTTCAGCCAGGACTTTATAAGAAGATTAGGATGCTCCTTTTGCCTGAGTTATTTCTCACCAATGAATGAGCAACATTGATCTTCCATCGGAGTTTTGCCTGACTGAGAACAGCAGGATCAGGGCTCATTGTCTCAAACAGGGCTGTCCTTTCACTGGAACGGTTTTATGGACACGTAATTTTCCTTGAATGCACTTACGCATTTATTTCAATATAAACAAATCTTTAATTATTCAGACTACAATTCTTAACAATTCATGATTTAAAAAAAGAACTACTGCTCAGATCAAAGCTGCTGCGTCTTAAAAAAAAAACTAAAAACAAAAACAAAACCAGAGAAAAGATCTGAAGCCTGAAGCACCTTCTGGTGAGTAATGAATGAAAGGAGGAGAAGTGAGTTAAGTAGATAGGAGAGGGTGAGATTAGATTCTTAGCAAGTCTAATCGAAGTTCGCCCGTCTTCTTCAGGACTCTGAAGTTTGTTTCACCTGACTTACAAGATCTGATGTACTACGGCTTGTAGCTACGAATGAAACTTAAACATTCTTTCTGCAGACAGGGCTGTGGTGTGAATCGAACTGGTTAGAAATCAAGAAAATGTTTTTTCCCAACTGAAATCTGAAAATTTGGTTAAAAATCATTACAATTTGAAAAGTTTCCATTAGCTCTAGTAGGGAAATAACAGTGAGAATAAAAAGTTTCAGAGTAGCAGCCGTGTTAGTCTGTATTCGCAAAAAGAAAAGGAGGACTTGTGGCACCTTAGAGACTAACCAATTTATTTGAGCATAAGCTTTCGTGAGCTACAGCTCACTTCTGCTAACCTCACATTTCCTTCCCCAGCTCATCAGGGGTTAATGGCTAACCTTCCATTGACTAAGGATCCCATTAGCATAGAAATAAGGCCATTCAGTGGGGCCCGTAGCCAAAACCCAGAATTCAGTGAGTGACCTCCCTACAACTTACTTCATACAGCTGTGCTCTGCCAGATGGGGGAAGGTCCTTGAGATCCACAACAGAGAATTTGTCCATATATGGCACATGTACACCTCCCCAAGGTGCTCAAGGTATCTGCACAGAGCTCTCAGCTGGTGTGAAGAAACTTGTGCCCTACCCAAGGCTGTTATCTTCTCTACTGGTCCCTCATTGAGCTGGACCCAATAACCTGGGGACTTCCTGTGGCTGCAAGTTTGACAGCATGGAGGATGAAATCTACCCCTGATTTAGATTTCCCACTTCCAAATTTAGGTCTATGCGCTAGCTTTATGCACAGGGGCTGGGTTTCACTCAGGTTAGCCGGTTTTCTCTTACTGGAATACTAGCAATGCAACAAGGTAGTTCTGGAAAAATACCCTACTCTAGCTGGGTCATTTGGCTTCCAGAGATACCGCTGAAGAATGTTCAGAATCTCCTAATGGTTTATGGTTAGAAAGTGAGTGTGGACAACACAGGACCCCTTTCAAAAGCCAGTCACTATTCTCAAAAACAAAAACAAAAAGTCTGACAATGTTTGGATGAGGACCGGAAAAATGATTTTAAAAAATAAACAGAAAAAAAAAACCCTGATAAAAGGTGTAAATTAAGATTTGCAAGTGCCTGGCCTGAGTCAGGTCTGCAGACTTGCCACTTAAAAATGATATGCCTGCGCCATGAAGTAAGCAAACAAGACTTCCACCAACACGCACAGTTTAGTGGGATGCCTCACAGCAGCATTGGCCAGCCGTTATTTACACAGCACTGCCATTCACGTGAGACGAGACGTTAAGATTTCCCAGTACCTTGCACTGCACTGGCTGAGCTCTCCATTATTACATCATCCAGCATTAGATCTAAAAGAATGAAACGACATTAATCATCTGGCAGGACGCGCGGCAAGAGTTTCATTCCCCTTCAACCGTTTCTACAGTTCTCCTGTCAACTAGACAGGTCTGTAATGGCTGTAGCCCGAAAAGTTCTAATAATGTTCTCTCCTAGATATCTTTTATGGTGAGTGGAATCTGCTATCCCTGCCCCTTCTGATACAGTGGGGTAAAACTAAGGGCCAGATGCTCCTCCCACTTACGCCAGTGCTACTGCAATGGACTCCATGAGGTTGCAGCGTTTAACTGACAGAACTTTGCCCCCTTAAAAATTTAGGGCCAATTCACCCCCGCATAAGACCTATATATCAGTTAGTTAGTCCTCAAGACAGGGTTTGAGTAGGATTTACGCAAAAGCCTTGGCAGAGGTTGAATTTCACCCTAGCACAATATGCTGCTTGCAAACCTGCATACTACACAACTAGGTTCTGCATCTGTCATGTAAGCACTGTATTGGTATGCCCACATGTTTCTCTTTTTCAGATGCAGCAGGTTGTCCTAATATAGGAATAGACTAGCATTTAAAAAAACCGACCATGCAGTCAGTTAAACTAATTCCGACTGTTAGCTACAACAAAAACTCAGTGACAAGGCCAGCTTCGGCATAAAGGAAACCCCAATGACTGCAATGGAATTGCTATCATGGATCTGAGGGTAGAAGTGAGCCCCTTATCCCAAAATGGAATACCAGTTACAACTACAGATGGAAAAGCAAAGCAATGACACCTACTTGTCATTGAGAGCAAAACTGGACATATCCAGTCAAAACCAACATTTTCATTGAATGTGAACTGAGAAAAGCTTTGTTCTAAAGCTCTTTGGAAGGCTTCATGTCTTTCTTTTTTAAGGAAGTTTAGCACTCAGCAGTATTCTGTTCCTTGGTAGACGATCTGGCGATTGCCTCTTTAATTAGGCATTTTACAGAACTGAATGCAAATATCCACATCTCCAAGGATGCTCTGTGATTCCTTCCCAGACCAGCCTTATGTCTGATTCATCTTTTTTCTCCTAGCATTATAAATAAGGTCATTCATAATATCTATATATATTTATTCTAATGACATTTAGAATGTTTTCTTTCCAAAACCAAACTATACAAAAGGGACATTGGCATCCAGCGTGTAGCTGTATGTTCTAAAGCAGCAGCTGTCACTCAGCAATTGTGTCTGGGAATTCAGACTACCCTAAAGCGCTTTCTATACATATTAATTGTTTGGAGGGAAAAAAAATCCTTTGATATATCAGCTGTATCCCATTTAACTGAGGCTGACTGATAAGATCCATAGCTATGAGCTTTATTTATTGCGTCCACACTGGGTGAAGAGCCACACAGTACTGTTTACATCTCCCAAAGTTCACTGGGCTCATTGTAACACCCAGAAAGGAACTGGTTACAGTCTCTTCTTTGCTTGATCCACAGTTCTGAGCAGGAATCTGGAGATGCTATAATATACCCAGGATATTAGAATATTCCTTCTTTAGGGCCAGATCCTGCAGTGCAAGCAATAGGGTGCTGTGCAGTTGCAGAGCTCTGGCCATGCCATTCTCACTGCAGGATCAGGGCGTTAAGCCCTGATTCCGAAAAGCACCATATTTGGGACAACACATATGCATTGTGCTTAGCTACCGTAGAAATCAATGGGACTTAAGCACATGCTTAAGAGCCATGCTGCAAAGGGATGGACTTAAGCATGTGCTTAAGTGCTTTCTGAATGGGAGCCTTAGTTAGTGATATTTGTGCTGCAGTAGTATAACTAAGCTCATCGCAACTTTATTAACCTTTCAGAGTTAACATTACCGGCTTTCAGATTGCTAGCACAAGCTCCTGATCAGAGACAGACTCTTAAACATCACTGACGTGCGTCGAAGATAGAAAATGAAATGTGAAAGAAGTGGAGACAAGTAATAAGGAGACAGAATGGGAGAGGGTAACAAGAGAGAGATACCATGAAGAGATGGGCACTTGAAAAAAATGCAACCAGAACAGAAAGCATGCAAGATGGAGAAGAGTACCTCTGGCCTTTGACCTCTGACCTGAATGTTATTTCCTGCTTTTTCAACCAAACCAAAACTGAAGTAAAAAGAAAAAGGTCAGGTTTTTAGATTTTTGACAGAGTGTGTAGGTCTAGCATCCTTCCATCACGCTAATAGAATTTTTAAAGCTACATTATTCTAAGAGGGCCACAAGTTTGTGTCAAGTTTATCGTTCAATTTATCTCACATCAATGACAGTTCATCTGGTTAATTTGTCTTATTGAATTCTTTTTCAATCTGTATTTCTCAAGCAAACTCATTGATATGTATCTATAGGGTGTTTTTTAAAAGCATTTCTAGAATAAGATGGCTTCATTATTTTATTACATCCTTGAATAGCCCTAGAGCTACTTTGCCAACAAATAAACCTGCCTGATAAATGAGACAGGTAATGTTGCTGTGGCATTACAAGGCTGTAATAAACCAAATAGTGAATCCAGTTATCAGCAACAGTGCTCAAGACTTGGAGGATTTATGGCCTAGTCTGACACTGTTGATCTTTACATTTGTCACTATTTGTGTAACGCTGAGTTGTGCTATCCACGAAGCTCCAGGTTTGGGTTTTTGGGTTTTAAATAACCTTGTATGAAAAGGTCATTGCAAATCATGCAGGCATTGAAAGGTTTCCATGGCTTCCTGCTCAGCCTAACATGGCGCTGTTTCCTTCATGCAAATTTCATAGCTTGGACATGCTTTTTTTTGGAGGAGAATGATCATCAGATGCTAGGCAGGGGTTAGGGGATTGTGTCAAAGGTCAAGCAGGACTCAGAAAGATGTGGAAAGACTACCGACCAGCCATCTGTTTCTCCTTACTCCTTCTCTTTTTCTCCAGCCGGCGAAGTCTCTTCTCCTCCCGTCTCTTGGCTTCTTCCTCCTCCTGGTGCTGCCGACACTTGTGGAAATTCTCCACCACGACCCCCACGAACATATTGAGGACGAAGAAGGCCACAATCAGCAGGAAGGAGATGAAGTAGAGGAGCATCCAAGGGTTATAGTTCATAACTGGCTACAGGATGGAGGGAGATAGATGCCAGTTGAATTGCAACAGGCAGAGTATGGAGCAAACTGATTCTTGCTAGTCAGGGTTGAGTTGGGACGTTAACGAAAGCAATGTGGAAGTTGCACGTCCGGCTGCAGTTTGGGGGTTGGATGGGCCTGAGCTGCAGCCTGAGCCGCAACATCCACATGGCTATTTTTAGCACACTAGCTCGAGCCCCACTAGCGCAAGTCTGTCTATGGAGGCTGGGAGGCTTGCTTCCAGCTGCAGTGCAGTGTACACATACCCTGAGGAGGTAGATGGAGCAGAACAGCAAGGCCCGCTTTCTCAAAAGCAGCTAGAGATGTTGAGTGCTCAACTTAAGACACCTTAAAGGTGACTTTCAGACGGCAAGTGCTGAGCACAATCAGGCTCCTTTGAGGTGTCACGAGTTGGGCACCCAAAGTCACTTGAACACTGAAGAGTCATGAATGGTCTGTTGTGCCAAAGAGTGAGGCAACAGAATCCTTTGCAACTATCCCAGGCCAGCAATAATAGTAATCTGTACATATACAAAGTAGCAGCTTTCTCCGGAGGTGCTCAAAGACTCTTCAGGCTCACAAAACCCCTCTCAGATAGGTAGTGTTCCCCATTTTACAGCTACGCAGGACGTTTCTTCAAGCACCATAAGTGGGTACAATGAGCTATTGACACTTACGTCATAGCATGGTTTTGTTGCAGCATATAACTAGTAGACATGGGTCCCAGTTGGAACCTTTCATCTGATCTCTGTCATGCTCCCGCCCTGGTTTGGATAAAATGGAACCCAGATCCAAACCACCCCCCAAAGTTTCACTTTTGCAAGACGAACAATGTTTTGCAAAATGAAAACCAAACCATAGCCTCTTTGGAGGCTTCTCTCTACTAGGCGTTCATCTAGAAAACATACCTGCTGGTCAACTCCTACAGCATCGAGGCCATCATACATGATGTCCACCCACCCATCTTTGGAGGCCAGAACGAAGAGAGACATCAGGGCCTAGAAATGTAAGGGAAAAAGTTACGTTTAGTTGGAACCCAGCTAATTAGATGCTCTCTTTTACCTGTCACATTCAACTCTCCTTTGCCCTTCTCCATTTTGGGATTTGCATTTGTGCTACTATTTTACCTTGCCAACAACAGGAAACTTTTGATGTCCAAGGTTTCCTGGCAGCAAAAACCTGTCAATGTCAGACACCGGTCCAGCAAAGAGGGCTAATTCGAAAACCACAAAGTCAAACACAAAGGCAGCTTCATTTTCACCCTCCAGGTCTCCACTGCTCACTACTAATTAGGTCCTACCATGCTGCTAAAATAAGGATGTGCTCCATCAGCAGTTGTAAATGAATGGGATGTTGAGATGCACTGGGTACAGGATGTCCAGCCACATTAGTCAAGCCCTGCTGCTAGATGTATTTAGTTTATTATGCAGCAGTGAAGCAATTAAATACACCGTGAAGCTACTTGTGCTTGTCTTATTCCAAAAGGAAGTGTGCGAGTGCTTGGAAGCATTGCATTTGGAATTTACAAATGCAGGGTGGGTGTATATGAAGTGAAGAGTGACTATGGCTGCTTAGACCCCTGTAAGAAAATCCTATAAGTAATTATGCATAGATTTTTAAATCAAGGAGGTAAAGGAGCAAAGAAGCAGATTACCATTCCAGTAATACCTGGCCGAGATTATCAAAATTATACTTGTGCCGGACCCATTTGTAGCTGGCTTCTGCACAGTCTGATTTGTTTGTGATGTTCCTGGTATCCTCCCCTTGGCAGACAAAAAACTTCCCTTTGAAAAGCTGTAAAACAGAAGAATAAGAGGAGGGGTAAATCCACTTCATCTACCTACACAGAATGGACAGCTCACTCAGGACCTGCTGTGCAGCCCACACAATCAAATCAAGTTAAAGATAAAAGCTTCGTTAGTGCATGGCACTCAAAGAGTGAAGCCTGGCATAACAACAGTGACAGTTTAGTTCAAAGGTACCTACTGAGAGAAAGCTTGAACGCCTCCTCTAACATAATTTAGGATACTGATCTTGAAGATCTCCTTGCAGAGGGCTGGGTAGCTCTTAGGACTAGGACTATCCTCTACAGACTTTTGCTTCTAGGGCACTGGGTTCAAATCCAGCCCAGGCTTGTAGGTGTTACCATCTGATGGCTGGTTAGTGATATATAAGAAATGGTGGTCTCAATCCAGTTGCCAGCAAAACGTCTTACAAGAGTGGCTAACAAAATTAGCCCTAATTCAGCCCTTTTGACCGTCTTTGTTGGCAGAGAAAAAGGAATGAATGCGCCAGAGAAATGGAAAACGCTCTTATTCACAAAGATCAAAGTGAGGAGTGGTGTGGGTGGAGCCTTGTTCTCCTGCTGGACCTGTGGGGTGGATCAATGAGACTTCTATTTCTAGGGCTGTTAACCCAGCAACTTTCAATGGCACTAAATCCCCTTGCATGAGAGCTGTTCTCCTTCAATCGTTAGACTGCACTTCAGGAAAGTCTCTGCAAATATTTTTATAACCAGAATTTAAGAATGAACTCATATTGCTCCCTGAAGCCAGATCCTGATCTCCCTTACACTGGCATAAAACCGTGGACTCCAGTGCGGTTACTCCTGATTTACACCTATGAGAGAAGCATCAGGTGCTTAATTCTAGATTTGTTGCATTCTGCAAAGCGACACAGAAAATGGCAGTGCATGATTACTCTTTGGGACGTGGCAATTGATGGTGAAATCTGAGCGAGCGAGCCATATTGGAAATCCTGTTCTACTGAGTGACAGTATCTTGTCTTGCATCCCTGGGACAGAGCATCCTTCTATTCAACATCTCCTTTAGCCATAAAACTTTTAGATCTAGGACGGCTATAGCTCCCTTAAGGATCCCCATGTTCTGCCTACAATGGAGATAGCTTCTTCCAAATTAAACAGGAAGGTGAACATGGATTTTATTACATTGCCTATGAGTGTAACAGGTTCATGACTAGGGGTGTAATACCATTCAGATGGGCCCCATTACACAACCATAAACTGGAGAGGAACATACAAGGGTCTGATTTGCAAACACACTGAGCACTGGCAGCTCACGCTTACTGGCAGCTCATGCTGAAGGTGCAGATTCTCAGCACTTCTGAAACTCGAAGGCCCAAAGTTTCAGAGTGACTCTGTCTTTTCTACTTTCTACTCCTGGCAGTTAGATTAATGACTATCCACATGCCACCTTGGTGCATGCTTCAGAAATCTATGTAATACAATCAATAAATAGCAGGCATGGCAATACAATCCAGTGGGCAGGAGACTAGACTGGGGCTTAGGAGACCTGGGTTCTATTCTAGGTTCTTTCACTTACCTCCTGTGTGACACTAGGCAAATCACAAACTCTCTGTGCTTGTGTTTCCTATTCTGTCTGGTCTATTCAGACTATAATCTCTTTGGGGCACGGACTGCCTTCCTGTTAACTCTAGAAGATTGAGTCTTACTATCTATCTCCATTTTATACTTACATGGGGGAAAAAAAACAGGCTAATACTGAGCAATCTAAGATTTGGTTTCTTTTATATAAATGATGGCCTTGCTTTTACAGTTATTCAGCATGCAGAACTCCCACTGACATCACTGGGAATTTTGCATGCTGAATGCAGGATCAGTTCTAATGTTTGTATGTAGTGCTGTAAATGTGTCAATGTGTAATTGTGACAACTGAATAGAAGACTGGGAGAGGCACTGGGGAAAGCGATCACAATTAGCAGAAAGGAAATTCAAACAGCTCAGTATGACAGATTTTTTTTCCCCGTTATAAACTCTTTTGGATCTGATTATTTTGTTTCATGGGATGTGCTTAGTTTTATGGTCCTGTTTAGGGCAATGGATGTGAAGTGTAATGGATGGATATTGCGCTGTACCTATACATCAATCTAGATGCAAAAACGGTCATGAATGGGATGATTCTTCCCTTTTGTTCTGTCGGGTTTGAATGTTATATTTATTAGTTATTTAAAGTACATTCATTAATGCAAAATGTTACAGAAGCCCTCCTGTCCACACAGGGAGCCAGTTTCCAAGCCAGCTTTGACAGATCAAATAAACTTCACCTGGAAAAGGGGAAACTGTGCTGAAATATCCATCAAATAGAATCTCCTTCTTTTTCAGATGATTAGAAATTATTACGAGGAGATGGAAACTTTTCTCCAGTCTCTTCCCTTGGTCTCCTGTACTCCAAGGACTGGCGATGACGACAGCCGATTGTATCCAGATTGCCTGACACCGCAGAACGCTCAGAAATCAATATTTTCACCAACTTCTAACTATGTGAACCTTTCAGAACCCTGTACTGAGTCGATTGGGACAAGTTTTCCTTTCAGCTTAGAAGCCAGCGGATTCCCAGCTATGAAAGTTAGTTTCTATTTTCCGTGAGTTTAAAGCTGGGGAAAAAAGGGGACATTGTCTCTCCAACTTTAACACCACAGACAGGAGACAGAATTGAATTGAATAGTTTCCTTGGACAGGGATTTCCTAGTGGGACATGGTAGGGATCTGATTATATTAACTATAGACCCAAATTCTGCTCCGGTTAATCCTGGGGGAAGGACAGCTGAGGTGTAGCTAAGTTCATGTTCTGCTACAGGAATTCTGCCAGCCAGAGCATAAGTCCTCATGGTGGGGATGGTGGGGGCATGGTGAGGAGGACTCTTGGCTGACACTCTGAGCGGGAGCAGCATGCCCCCTCGGTCAGTGTTTGTTTTCAAGTATGTTTACATCGCAAATTAAGTTGTACTCATAGTGCCAGTAAACCTGCACTAGCTTTAATCAAGTTAACACAGGTAACAAGAGCAATGAAGACGTGGCAATCCAGACATCAGTACAAGCCCACTAGGAACTCTGGCTACATACTCAGGGTGCTAGCCCACATCAGGGTCCATGCAGCCACATCTTCACTGCTAGAGTTATCTGCTCTAGCTAAAGTTAGTGAGGGCATGGTCTACCCACGCTACAATTAATCTGTGGTGTAGATCTGTTCTTAGAGAGCCGTATTACTGTATTACTGGTCAGCTTGAAGGGGGTTAGACCCACCCACTAACCCACAGATCTCACCACCCCAACAGAACCAGGAAAGAGGTTAAAGTCATACCGCCATAATTTTTCATACTCATTGCTGTGCCCACTGGTACTAAGGTGCACGTGTGTGGAGTCTAGCCTACGATTCATTTGAAAAGCCAGTGAAAAGTGAAAAAGACTCAGTGATCCATGGCTAGGGCTGGAATAATGTGGCTCTTGCTCTTGTCATGCTATTTCAGTTTCTGCACAGGGAGTTGCTCCAGAAACTCACCTTAATCTGGGCCCCTCAAAGACCTGTAGCCCGCACACAGTGGCAAAGATTCCAAGATATTCCTCTCTATTTGGGCTTGCCTTTATTTCCAGCTTTGCCTGGATTCCAGTGGAACCAGGCAAAGAGCCCTGCAGGGAACCCACCTGGACGCCCAAGATTCCAAAGATGATGAAGAAAGCACAACAGATGACCACAATGTTCCCAATGGGCTTCAGGGATGACATCAGGGTTTCCACCACCAGTTTCAGTCCTTGTGCTCGACTAATGACCCTGAGGGGAAAAAGCAGGCACAAGAAGCAGGTTAGACACTGTCCTTGCAACGTTTCTCTGAATCCTTCCATGCTCTGAGGCACAGGTATAAGTGTGGACTTGGGAAGCAGCTGTTTGAAATGGGGAGTGGCTGAAAAACAAGAGCATACAAGATGCTATGAAGGGACTGAGATGTAAGGGAGGTTGGTGAAACTTCATATGTACTCAGGGATCCTTGTGTGTGGAATGGAGAAGATGAGAAGGTGCAGGTGGGAGTGCATACGTATTAAGAGTTAGGTACCCAGATCTTGATCTAAAGCCCATTGAAGTTAGTGGAAAGGCTTCTGTTAACTGCACTGGGCTTTCGACCAGGCTCACAGAAAGGGAAAATTACAGAGTACCCCCATGTCTTCTTCTCCCACTCCATTACCTACACCTCCCCAGTCATGTCCTTTTTAACGACCTTATTACAAAATGAATACAGATTTAATTTTAGTGACCTCTCCATGTAAAGCACATCTCCTGCCTCCAGGCCTGAGAAATTCTACTGTCTTCTGTTTGACCCCTTATGCAGCGCTCTCAGTTCTTGTATCTTTCTTATAAAGAGCTTTGGCACCATATTCCAATCTAATACAAAGTAGAACTTCAGAGTTACGGACACCTTGGGAAGGGAGGTTGTGTCTGTAACGCCAAAATGTTCATAACTCTGAACAAAGCGCAGTTCGGGCACCAGCTCCGGCAGCTGACACTCCAGGCCAGGCTCCAGCGGCAGCTGAGCTCCCTCCTCAGCACCTGCAGCTTTCTTGCCGGCAGCTTCTTTCCCTGGGTCCGACTGAGTTTGCAAGCTTGTCCCTCTCCCAGCTGGGGGAGGGGAGTGCGCGAAAACAGCGCATTCCCTCCCTGGCTGGCGGAGGGAGGGTGAGACCAGTGTGTCCGCCTCCCAGCCGAGGGAAGGGCGAAAGTGGCGCAGACCCCAGCACTGGTCCTGCTCCGCTGGCTCCGGCTGCCTTGGACTGGCAGCCCCAGCATCTTCACTTCCTAGCTGTAAGTGGCTGCCCTCACATGGGGGTGAGGACAGGCAGCCCAGATGTGCTGACCTGTAAGCTACAACACAGGCACAGTACAGTACTTTCTTTTTTGGTCTCTGCTGCTGCCCGATTGGTTACTTACGGTTTCACCTGGTGTCCCATTGACTGGTCAGTCGTAACTCTGGTGTTTGCATCTTTGAGGTTCTACTGTATGTCAGATGTGGTCCCTCTGGCCTCTTGTACTGCCAGAGATGGAGCTGATGGTTTTAATCTAACCCACTGTCACTCCCAGATCTATTTCCGGATTAGCACCTTCTAGAGCACATAGCCAGTTAGGATGTCCTCTCTCCCCCAACCCATTGTTCATCAAAGCCCCATCACTTTGTATTTTTCTATATTTTAATAAGAGGACTAAGCTTGTGTATATTAAAAAAGCCATCAAGTCATTTACGGACATATTCACAAAGGTATTTAGGGGCAAATAGGTTTCTAGTGAGATTTACAAAAGTACCATTGACATCAATGGGAGTTAGAGGCCTCCCTCACTTTGTAAATCTAGTCTTTATGGCCAAGCTGCTTACAAATGTAGGCATGGAAAGTCAGGCATTTATGCACAAAAAATGTTGCACCCATAGAGTGGTGTGTGTGTGTGTGTGTTTGTGTTTTTTGGACATCGGTTTGAAGGCTCCTTTGAAAACTTGGCACTCAAAATGTAAAGCACATGTTCACTTATGGGACAAGGATGTCTTACACTGATCCTATCACAGGCTCCCCAATGTCTCTCCCTGCTCAGCTCAGTGTCCCTCTGCATTTTCTTGTATCTTTGCTTTCCTATCTCAATAACCTGCCTCTTGCCATCTTAAAACTACCTCCCAGTCTGAGTGCTAGTCTAATCTCCATCTGCCCCAGTCTGTGTCATTCTCCCAGCAGAGGTCACTGTGGACTCGGCCATGTGACAGTGATGTTTGGCTTTAATAAGGTGCATGACGGATAAGCCTCATGCTCTCTGAAAGTTTGCATTATTCCTTGTGTGTCTCAGTGCCTACAGAGTTAAACTGCAGAGCTACATGCACAGCCATAAAATAATGGTGGTTTTTTGTTTTCCTTTTTTTTTCCCCCTAGGAATTGTTGGCTTTAAACAATAGCCTGAAAAACTAAAAAAAAAAAAAAAAAAAAAATTCCTTCTTTCTGGTAAAATATTTACTCTAAATGTCAAGGGTAGCTTGTCAATTCCCCTTGTTAAAAAGAAACAGATGGTGATATTTTTATCCACTCCCTACCAACACAACACAAAAGGCAGATGCTTCTGTTTTTCTGGCTGTTGTGCTCAGGTAACGGTTGTTGTTACTTATTACACTCCCTGGCTCTCTGTCTGTTCTGCTCTGTGCTGTTTTCCTGAGTTTGGAGAGGACTGGATGGCTCAAGGAATGTAAGGAGTTATGAAGTCTTTAACCTTTAAGGCTGTGAATCAAATCTAAGCCAGGCTGGCAGCGACCAAAACAAATCATTACCCTCAAACGGCAGCTTAGCACGCTATGTTAAATATGTTTGTTGATTTCAGATCACTTCTGGGCAGGCAGGGCTCCACATAACAAACAACGAACACTGTCCTCATTAGCACCCTTTTTGATCGTCTCAGCTGACAGACTAAAGCACATGAAGACTGAAATACACCCAGATCAGGGCTTAAGCATGTTAGGGGAAAGTTTGCACGGTCTCAGTCAGTTTGATGCCTATTCTGTATATGAATCCAAGGTACTTTTATGCCTCTCCATAACTGTAGTATCTGAGCACTTCACAATCATACACATTACTCACAACAGCCCCACAAAAAGTGCAATTATACCCATTTTATAGATGGGAAAAAAGGGGCACAAAGATTAAGTGGTGCGCCCAAGGTCACTCAGGAAGTCTGTGGTACAGTAGGAAATTGAACCCAGGTCTCTTGAATCCCGGGCAAGCAGCTCTCCAATGGACCATCCTTCCTCTTGTGAGGAAACTCTATTCTGTGGATACAATGAAGAAATTCAGTCTCCAGGGCCTGGCAACTTTCACCAGCACCAACACCAAATTAAAGATGGAACAAAGTGATTTTCCTGATACGACATCATCTGCGATCCAACACAGGGTAAAGGAATAGGAGGTCACTCTTCTGTCTTGGCCAACAGAGGATGCATATTGAGAAAGAGGGGCTAAGAAATTATATAACAGTTTGGTTCCTTCAAATTCCTAATCAGAACATTATTCAGTGTATCTGCGTTATGTCTGCACTGCAGCCTACAAAACACCCCGCTGCTTCTCCTGTAACATTATCCCCAGGCCTACAGAAAAGAATCTGAAGAAAAATGTAATCCCAGATGTAAACCAATGGTCTGAATGAGATCTCTCCTGTCAGCTGTAGAGAAATTGGAGGAAAAGACCTCATGAGCATAGGCACTGACTTCCCTTCTTTCCCGTGGGTGCTTGACCCCTCCTCTGCCCCCAGCCCAGCCCCGCCCCCACTCCACCCCTTCCACGAGGCCCTACCCCTGCCCCACCTCTTCCCACCCCTTCCTCGCCCCCATTCCAACTCCTTCCCCAAATCCTCACCCCGGCTCCGCCTCTTCCCTGCCTCCTCCCCTGAGCGTGCCACGTTCCCGCTCCTCTCCCTCCCTCCAGGAGTGTGCTAACACTGCCAAACAGCTGTTTGGCGGCGGCCGGGCGGGAAGCATTGGGAGGTAGGCTGAGGAATGGGGACGCTGCCCTCAGGGGACAGGGAGGAGGAGGACGGAGGTGGGGTGGGGGAGAGGGGAGCTTGGCTGCCGGTGGGTGCAGAGCACCCACTAATTTTTCCCCGTGGGTGCTCCAGCCCCGGAGCACCCACGGAGTTGCACCTATGCTCATGAGCCGACCTTATTAGCATAGACACACCACCTACTTTGCCAAGTGACTAATTTTCACTGTTTTGGGTTAAAATTCACATAAGTCTTGAAAGCAGGGGTAATTAAATGCTTTTATCCTTATTGTACGATTAAAGGGCATACTCACTCACTAAACATGGGGTAGTGAGCCATATCCAAGTGACTGTCAGAAGGGGTGGGGACAGATCTTCCTCTCTGGTAGGAAGGAGTTTGTTTAAAGGTCCCAGATGCCATTTGACCCTTTCCTCCCCAGGTCTAGGGGCTGAGCCTTACATTGGCTGTGGAGACAGCGTGCAAAGGCAATGCAAGAGTCGGCAGGTTCCCCACTACCCAGTGAAATCACTAACAGCTGAAATCACTAAGGTCTGGGCTAGTTGATGGAACCTCAGAACACAGCCTGGTGAGATCAGCAGCAAAAGCAGCCTCTTGCCCAACAAATCCTAGAAGAGTGATTACTAAAAGCATGGGGCTGTAGGGCTGGACTTAACCAGACCATGGACACAGCAGAGCAATGGCAGAGGCCTCCCTCACTGGAGGTGAACACACCTAAATGCAGCCCATAACACTTTGCTGACTTCTGACAACAAACCATGAGTGGGGTGCAGTGGAGGGAAAGGGGGAGACGCATGTTAAAGAAACATTCATTTATCGGGCTTCCACACTGCAAGGTGGGAAGCTGAGGCAAAGGACTCCTGCCCAAGGTCCTGTGGGGCAGGTGGTTTACTTATTGTTTGCATACTTCTGAGTCATTGTTGCTGTGTTTTCCCAAAGTAATGCTGCGTCCCCTCAATAAAAGTTTGCTTTTTGTTATACACAGACTCGGTGCTTGCAAGGCGGGAAGTACTAACTATTAAAGACGCCCAGGAGAGGTATTTAGTTTTCCCAAATTTCTGGGTGGGGGCTCAAGATGGTTTTATTCTGTAATTTTAAGAGGAACCTCTGGATATTGAGCTGGCATTTGCTGCTGCTGCCAGCACCGGTCAGAAGGTTAAACACTAATTAATGAAAAACATCACAGTCCTCATGCTTACAGGCACTGAAGCTAAGATCCACCAGGTCAATGGAAAGACTCCCGTGAGAGCCGGATAAGGCC